TTTTTTTTGGTAGCAGGGATTGAACTCAGGACCTTGCACTTGCGACACAGGTGCGGGTGCCACTGAGCTAAGTTCCTGGCCCAAGAAAAGTAACAATGTTACCAAAATGTATGGATTATTTTCTTATTTTATCATATACTTAATATGCAGTCACCGAAGAAAACTGAAGGTACCTGCTTGGGTGTATCAACCAAAGATGAGGCTGCGAGCAGAGTGAAAGTGTGCAAAGAAACAATCACCATCTTGGTGGAAGGGTAGGAGGTGACCAGCTGCTGCAGGAGCTGACGTGCGCTGGAAGCCAGGATGGCGTCGTGGTGCATGTGCTGCAGGATAGGGATCAGCTTCAGCTTCAAGTCCACTGGGGTAGCTAAGCCTAGGCACAGGAAGACTTCTCAGAGGTTTCTGGTCATCATCCTCAGTTAACAGTTCAGATTAAAAGGATCTGATTCAATCAGCAAAACAACTACTTAAAAACAAGTTGTATACTAACAGGTTCTCCCATTTATAACAGTAACAATTATACTAGGACCAATCAGTAAGTTCAACTGAGCTTTCCAAAAGTATTTACCTTAGTATAAAACTACATGCTGATGGCAGAAAATCCCACAGAATGACACAGTAGAAAGCAGTTACATTTGCTTCCTATTTCTTCTTATATTTAAAAAGATCACACACAAGTTTGCTTGTACAATATATATGTAAAGTCCGCCAAAAATGTATACATCAGGAAAAGAAAGCTTGTATAAATATTTTAATACTAAATTTGTTGAGACATCATGAGATTAAAACAAGTCACCTTTAGCCTCTAGAAGAAGTGCTCAAAGTGGTGACGAGTGGCTTCCAGAAATTTATTAGCATGGCAAACTGCTGAAATGTGGGTGCATTTTTTTGGCAGATCTGTATACATATATACACTCGATGGGCACAGTCTGATTACATGAACAATTATTTTCTTCAACCGCTTAACCAAGATCAAGGCAGAAACTGACTGTCTAGAATGGCTTTGATGCTCTCTGAGCTTTATCTCCCTTTACAATTGGAACTCCATGAGGATTAACCCCAGTGCATCTTTTCTTGTCAACACTGGAATTAAACAAAACAAAAAGATCTTCTTTTACGGCATGACTCTGTGGTAATAGAGAACAAAATTTTCTCAATCATAACATATTATAAACACGTCAAAAGCCAATTTATACACGAAGATCACTGAGTTCTAGTGCGCCTGCTAGTACGAACGAAGAGAGCATTTCAACACGCCCTGCAGGCTCCTATCCACAAGCTACCTTGCTATTTGACCTGCCTTTGGTTTGGCCAAAGCAGAGAGCCCCAGCAAGAGGTGCGAAGAAGACTGAGGCCAGTTTTACTGTCTGGCATCTTCTCTGCAGGGTCACTCGATGCCCACGTGGTTACTATTTTGATTCTCAGCGTGCTGAATACATTTGACACTGATGACCATTAAGTCCTTGAAACTCTCCAGTGGCTTCTGCTTTTTCACTCTTTTTCTGTTACTTGCTCTCTTCCTCTGGCTGTTCCTTCTTAATCTCCTCTTCCGTCTACAGTTTAATTTCTGGTGTTCCTTGAATTGGTAATAAATTCTTGTCTCGCTCTTTGAACTTTCTCGGTGATCAGCTAAATGCTAAGGACTGCTGCCCACCTCCTCTGCACCCTGAACTTCAGATGCACGTATCCCACCACCTCCCGCTTACCTCCAGCAGGACAGAGAAGAAGCGTTTTGTACCTAACAGCATCTAAAGGGAACTTCTGATCTTTCTGAACTTCTGATCTACCCCAAACTGCTCCTCCAAAACTGATCCCATCTCAGTAAATGAGAACTCCACGACTACAGCCCTCTGACTTTGGAGTCTTATTTTTCATTTCCTCCCTCCTTCTTCCACGTCGGAGTTCTAAAATTATTAGCAAATTTTTTTGGTTCTAAAATACAATGCAGATCTGTCTTCCCACTTGTCATCACGCTGATCCATTCTCACCATCTCCTGACTGAATCATTCAGCCCCCAGGTACTCTCCCTATTCAGGCCCTTTCCTACAGCAGCCTCCTGTGTCCTATCTCTCTTTTCTCCCCAAGTCCATCAGTCAGAGGGATTCTCTGTCAACGCTTTCAGGCATCTTAATGAAGTTTCACAGTGATTCAGAAAGGCAGTTTAAAATTAAACATCAGATACCCTCTTCCTAAAACCGCTCTTCCATTTCCATATCTTAGGTTTCCATCTTCCTCCACCCCACTCACATCCTGTGTTCTCTTCCTGCTCTCACTTCCTATTTCTTGTTCTTTTATATATTCATTTTAAACCTCAATGTTTTGTTGCTGTTGTTCCAATGCTGAGGACTGAACCCTGGACCTCATGCATGCCAGGCAGACACTACTACTGAATAACACCCAGGCTTATGATTTTTAGATAAAACTCAAGTAATAATAAAGCAATGAGTTTAAGTACCGATTAATGAATTTCTCCATCTGTATAAGCCCATATAATCACCCTACAATAGCCCCTACATTAACCTGCCCACACCTTCGTAAACGGTTCCTTTCTTAACCCCTCTATGACTTATCCTGATTCAAGTATCCCACCTGCCTCCAGATGAGGCCTTGTCTAATACAGGAAGTCTTTGAGAAAAGCCTGCTCAGTGAGTGAGTGATGCTGCTCTCTCCTATGATCAAGACAATCTACAGGAATGCCTTCATGCAGTAGAGGAAAAAAATGACAAAGGGGAACAAGATAAAGCTCAATCCCATTATTTGGATCTTAAAGTGATTTTTTTATTTATGCAAAGTGAGTGAGCTGTCTTTACTTCTAGGTTGAAAGAATTTAAATGCATGCAGAATTTAACTAGTCTACAGAAATTCAGGTCTTAGAAAAGGATGCTAACACAATGATTAAGAGCATGAGCTTCAAAGCCAAACTGCTACTGATTAGGTGACCGGACAAACGGCTGAGCTTCACCATGGTTCTACTTCCTCTGCGGCAAAAGGGATCTAACAGCATTACCTACCCAGGGCTGCCAGGCTGCACAATTCACAGGAATGCCATTTACAAGAACACAAAGAAAGTGGTGTTCGTTCCCTAGAGTTATGCAATGCTGTAGCCCCAGAGCTGCCTTTCACAACTGTTATAAAGATAAATGGGGTTAACAGGAAGCCTCGTTTAGTAGGTGGAATTGGGAAAGGAGGGCTCTGTAGACTGTGGAAGGAATTTGGATTTGATTCTAGTAACAATGGAAGGCACTGGAGGGACAACAGCAGAGAGCCCTGAGCTCCTAATGACACCAACCTCCCAGGTCACAATGCTCCTCCGGTCTGGCATGGCCCAGTCTTGTCCTTCCTTCCTGTCTCCTTTCATCAGAAGGAAGTGCCACATATGAGTCCACCTCCCCGCCACCCTCTTCTCCTGGGATTCTCTCTCCTTTCTATCTCACGTTTTCTATATTCTCCATAGCACCTGAAGTGTCACATCGTATTTGTGTACTGCCCACTCCACCCCAACTACATGAGGGCAAGAGCTTTGTCCTGGCAGATGGGAGATGTTTAATAAATATTACTCAAATGAACAGTGACTAACAAGTGAGTACTTAATAAATGTTAGCAACAATTATTAATATCAATCCTACTCAGTTCATATTACTAAATGAACCACACATACCTTGAATCATTTCACTGATTTTGTTACAGATTCCTACAGCAAAATCTCTATGGAAAGAGAGAACAGTAAAAACTTTAAAAACCAAAACAATTAAATTTGCTTATGTTTTCTAAGGAGCTGACACAGAACACAGAACACAACTGGCACAGGAGAAATGCAATACTCTGAATTACAGCTAATATTCCAAAGGTCAGGTGCTTAGGAGCCCTGATTTGAGAGTGCTTTGCAGTTATCACTTAGTGACACTGTCTGAAAGAATCAAGGTCACCATTAGGAAATATGACGTTTTAAGATATACTTTCCTAGGGGAAAAAATGAGAATCAAGACTTGTCATGTAGAAGTACAAGATCCCAACAATGAATGTAACTGTACTGTATCCCTAAAATGTACCAATAAACTCAATTAAAGCTGAAAAAAAAAAAGATATACTTTCCTTTAAGAAGTTTTTACCCCAGTACCAAAAAAAAAAAAAAAAATTAACACATAAGTTATGATTACATCAACAATGAAATCAATTCCTAACATATGAGTTTTAGAAAAAGAGTAGGTATGAGTAACAAAAATGCAGTAGGAAATGTGGACAGAATCTTAAGAAGAGCCAAACTAAAGTTAGCCGCACTTTAAATATGAGATACTTGTATTTCCCAAGGTACTTTTATCATAGTAGAGAAATATCACCCGATCTGAAAAGGTTAATAACATAAATACTTGAGATAAAATATTATACACTGTAGAAGGAAATGATAGAGATAATATAAAAATGGCTTATTTAGCCGTAAGTGGTATACAAGGCACGAAATACTACCCTTTTGTAGTTCAATGAAAGCCTCAATAAACTATTTTCTGCCATTAGGATATTATCTGCTGTTTCAATTTCTTTGTCTCACAAGTAAACAGTGGGGTTTCTATAGGCTACATAGTGTATTAGCTTTTCTCAACAACTAAGGCAATGAATGCTTTGTTTCTTATTTCATTTTTTGCAGTGCTGGGACTGTGCATGCTAGACAAGTGCTCTGCCACTGAGCTACATCCTCAGTTCTTAGAAAGTCCTAAGGTAGTGGGTTTAGTGTATAACATGTTCTCTGAGATTAATTCACTTTGTTCTCAATTCTGCTGTACTTTATTGCCTGAGACTTTATCTATTATAACCTCTGTAGCCTCATTATCAACCAATAAATCATTATTTTGAAATCCCGAAGTTTTTTTCCTACTCATTAGGAAATGTATTAAGTACACTTTGTCTGTTTTGCAGTTAAAATTTGAAAAAGTCCCACAATTACATAATTTTGCTTTGGAATTTAGCAAATGTTTCATTTTAAAGACAGAGAAAGTTTATCTGCAGTCCTTTTCTTATACTTAAGGTGAATTTTGGTTTCAAAGAGTGATCAGAGGACTTGTTTTCTCAGCCCAAAGTTATATTTTCTAAATCTGGAGATACCAAAAGAGATGAAACTGACTTATCAGACTTTAACTAAGAAAACAGAGGAATCTATTCTAAATAAAATGGCAAAACTATAAAGAAGAAAAACAAAAAATGACTAAAGCTGTTCCTTGGCTTTACAGATATTAATAATGTAACCTATTGTGCTTTATACAACAAAATATTTTCAAATAAAGTATGGTATCAATTAAGTTATGGCTTCATCTTAAGAGTTAATGTAGAATTAAACAGAAGGACTAAGAATTTTAACTATGAGTGGGATGTACCTTTACTTTGGTGGTACTAGAAATTGAACCCAGGGGCTCTATTTTATTTTTTATTTTGAGGCAGGGTCTTGCAGATGCTCAAACTGGCCTTGGATTTGCCATCTTGCTGAAATGTGAATAGCTGGATTACAGGTGTGTTACTGAGCTCAGCTACGATGTGCACTAGCGATAACCATAGACAAGTAATTCTAGTGCACCAGCTGGAGAAGCACACACTGGCTGGAGACACAAAATCAGTGAAAAGCACCCGAGGCACCACCGCTTCCCAACAGCGCAGCACCCGTCCAAGTCTGGCTGTAAACACAAAGGACGTTCAGTAGCCCCCGTGGCCAGATGTTTTATTTTGCTCATAATTATTCAGTATCAGCAACACCTCACCATAGAATATCTTTGTTTATATGAATTCTTGAAAACAAACACTACCTGTACTGAAATTTTCAGAGTGACTGATTTTTATTTTAAAGTCTCATGTTTTATCCTGGAATAATTATTGATAATTTCAGCTGTGAAAAAGTAATGATGATTAAAAATTCTGCAACTTGGCAAGAATCAAGGCAGTGGGGTCTATGTATTACTCAGTACTACGGACTCACATTTGAAAAAAGATGTTGTACTCTCTGTTCTTAATAAGGCAGTGAAAATTACTAATTTTATTAAATCTCAACTCTTGGGTACATGTGTCTTTACTCTCTCTGACGAAAGGGAACAAACTGGTAAGGCGCGCGGTGGCACACTCACAAGATGGCACGAACCGGTCAATCCTGCGTGGAACACCACGGTTATGCAGTTGCTAGCTGGTAGACATGCTCTGGAGAGGTCAACAGAGTGAGCTTGGCACCCGAAGGCAAATAATTGAGAACATTTGTTGTCAATTATAATTATTGGAGCTTAATTTTTTTTAAATTACAGAATTTCAGAAAACTTCTATTTGCCACGATGAATTTGAAAACTTAATGCAATAATTAAAAGCCTTTCCTGATAAAACCAGTGGTGACAGTAACAACACCGATACGACACAATAAAGGGAATCAACATCTGGCAGACCTGTGTAACACAGCACATCAGTGTTTTCCAAAAGATCAAAGCATAAATTACTGAATAGCGCATTTACTCATAAGGCTTTAAAAACACTGTATTCCTTCCTAACTAACGTATCTGTGTCAGACTAGATTTTCCTCATATACTTTGATCAAAATAATAATTACAGCAGTTTTGCTAAATGCAGGAGTAGATGTGAGATTAGGCCAGATATTAAGGAGATTTGCAGGGGCTGGGATTTAGCTCAGTAGTGCTGCCTCCTGCCTTGCAAGGTCCTGAGTTCAACCCCCGCTACCCTCAAAAAAGAGATTTGCAAAAATGTTCAAAACCACTCTTCCCACAAAATTGATTCTTTTGGAAAATAATTATTTTTATAGCTATTTTTATGTTAAAATATTATGGTCATGTTATTTTTAAAATGAGTAAATGTTTTTAACATTAAATTTCTTACAGTAAATGTCCACAGACATAGTCAACATGCAAAGCTCTGAGAATCTCAGTAATATTTTAACAGTGTAAAGGAACTGAGAACAGTGTGAAAACCACTTTTCTAAGAGATCAGTCTTACAGACACATACAAAAGGTATGCAGTGTTTTTGAGGTGTAAGGGGAGCAGTTTACACTGACTACCAGTGATGGAAAACCTTTTAGAGCTCTCAACGATATAAACAGCCAGCCTGCGGCAGCACACGTGCGACAGGTTCGCCACCACTGCTGGTTCATGTAGACAGCGAGGTCCCAGCTCAGACAGCTCCTGCTCCTGCTCCTCACTCTGCCTGAATCGCTGCGTTTTTCAGAGGCGCCTCCTCTTCACATTCGTTCTAGCTCACTGTTATCTGTTCAGAGACAGCCCGAGCTAACACAGCTCACTCAGGCCTACATCTGAAATTATTTTGTGTCTACGTAATAACAGCACCAAATCTTCTTCATCTATCTTCCTGGTGCTTAGAATAATAGACAAGTTGGACACTTAACACATATTTCTTCACTAATTACATAAAAACCTTTTATTCCAATTCAAAATTTAAAAATCTGTTACAAGCTTTCAGGGTCAATAAACAGCAAATAAGAAGCCTGTAAGCTTTAAAATCTAATAATAATTTTTAAATTCTTAATGCCAACATGTAAACACACTGAGACTAAACAAAATTATCTGTTCTCATTCCCATCACACACCGCACACACCCTCCCGTCAGACCTGAACGCAGCAGGCAGATGGCCCTGCTCTGTAACAACTGGCTGGTGCCAGGGGACGAGGGTGCCTCTGACAGGGAGCCAGTGCTCTTCAGCGGACCACAGCTGCTCGAGGTCACCCTCTCACTGACAATGCTCTCCTGGCCCCTGAGGTATTTGGGCCCCCAGTTCCTGCTCTATGACCCAGGGATTCGCTCATTAAAAATACAAAATCTAGCCCTAAATTAACAAGTCAGATGTAGTTATGGTAGGAGAGAGAGGAAGAATAAGACTAAATAAATAAAGTTTTATGTGGCCAGCTACTCTGATCTGTTCAACATTCAAAACTGACAGAAATGCCAAGACAAAAACTCATTGTGTTGGCCGAGACATGTGCTCTCAAGCCTGGTCATTATTTCTAGAGAAAGGGGTAAATGCTGATCTCAAAAATATATGTTTAATTAATTTTACACACTGGTGTGTTTAGATAAGTCCTTTGGGCTTTTCTAGTAGATTTATTTTTTATATCATAAATCCATGTAAAACTGGGTCTACATAAACTATTAATTTATGTGTTTATTGGGTATCAATTCCATAAGTGAAGAATGTTATTTCTGTTGGTTTCAATCATTTTCCAAGGCAGACCAGAGATCTCACATTGGAAAAAAAATTGGCTCTGCCATGATCAAAGTAATCATAACATAATGCAAACACGTATTAAAATAAAACATAAAAACCTGGAAAATAAAAATAGCTTCTGATAACATGAGAAAAGCTGAACTATAAAGAATTTTCTTAAATAAAATTAAAAAAAGAATTTTCTTATATAAAATTTAGCCATTATAAATTAGAAACTAAATTTAGCTGGGAATGGTGGTAAATGCCTCCACTCCCAGCACTTGGGAGGCTGAGGCAGGAGGATTGCCGTGAGTTGCAAAACAAACAGACAAACAAAAAACAATGAACTCAATTTAGAAAACTACCTTTGGAATCACTGCATGAATGTACTTAATCATTTACTCTGAGCGACTACAGGGCACTTACACCTTGGCAGTGGCCATGAGATGGTGACTATTCACAGGTATAATTCATCAATAAAAGTAATTTTTAAAAATTCTCTCAAAATCAGTAACTTTTAATAAGGAAAAATATGTCTATTTTCAAAAGCATAAAGGGGGACTGCATTTACTCAGGTATTTCTCAATTACTAAAATACTTAGTTTTGAGGAACAAAAATAAGGACTTAATGATATTTTTTACTATTCCAATGTATAATCCTAGCAATTCTGAAGGTTTGAGAAAGCATCTGAAGAGAAGAATATGTGTACAATTAAAATCAAAGACAGTTAATGATTATTGCAGGTTTTATCAAATGTAGCTGAGAATCTTAATGGAATTGTTATTTATTATTTACCTGATTATAAAACTAAAACTAGTTCACAGTAGGAAGTAGAGAGATCCATAAAAAGAAAATAATTATGTACACATTTACCACCCAGAGGCAGTATTTTTCATATATATCCCCTTGGTCTTTTTCCTACTCCATGAACCCAGATATTGGTTGTAAAGTTACATTACACCCAGCACTTGCAAGTGAGTATTAGTAGCCACACCCTAGGCTGATCCCTTAGGCTAAATTCTGGGTCCAAGGGAGGTGAAGGCTAAGGCTTTCCCCACGTACCACCAAGGCCATGCTCGACACCCTACATCGGGGATAGCACTATACTTTTTACAGAGGGTAGAAAATCAAACATGGTAATAAAATCATGGTCAACATTTCATTCAAACAAAGGAGAAAGTCTGTTCCGTAAAATAACAGAGTACAGTATAACACTCTGAATAGTTTAGAGTTGGTTTTAACTCAAATTATTGTCTTTGCCAAACTGTCCGTGGCCTAGATGCCTAACAGCTGCACATGAGGGACAGGAGAAAGCGGTACTTTGTGCTCTGCTGAGCACGTGGGACGCTCCTAAGCGGACAGCGCTTCTGCTACCATGAAAGCCTTCCTGGACTATCCCATGCTGACCTAGTTTTCTGCAAACTACATCTGTACTTAAGGTTTCTTTCTATTTTATGTATTTCAGCCTTGTTTCCCCAACATGCTATACCGTCCTGGAAAATACACCTGGCCATTTCCCCCCTAGAACATTCAGTGTTTAGATACTGAGCAGTGATTCCTTAAAAGCTCTTCTCGGGAAGCCCAGTTACAGGAGGCCGAGCTCACTTTGACTGTGCGGAGAAGTTTGCAGCAGCGAAGACAGCAGCTTCAACTTCTACGTTATCATGCGAGTCCAGACTCTGGCGAATGCTGTGATGAGCGTTCTTTCTCTCAGGAATTATCGACGCCAGGCTTCCCAACATCCTGCCAAAACAGAGAAAGCTGAGGCAGAAATACAATAATCTCAGGGTCAGGAAAGAAGGCACAAGGTAAACTGGATTATCAAAACTGAAGTTTGAGGGTCATTCCATAAATCTCAGGCTAATAAAAGTCTAACTTTAGGAATTAAGCAGTGACTCAAATCCTAAACACGTCTACACACTTCAGTACATCAAAACTTTTTTTTTTTTTTTTTTGGTACTGGGGATTGAAGTGGGAACCTTGAGCTTGCAAGGCAGATGGCAGCACCACTGAGCTAAATCCCCGGCCCAGTATTTCCAAAATACTAAAATGGCTTCTCTAACACAAGCAAAATTGCTAAAAATCAACTTGAAGTATATCCCAGATACCAAATAAGGCCCAGAAGAGAAACTTTTAAATTATCAAAGCACAAAGTATCAATTTTCCAATGTTGCATATGAAGTCCATTTTAGCAAAGCTTTAAGAATACAACAGCTTTGCCACTAAACAGATTCACAAAGTAAAACAGCAAGACTTTTCCAGTCTGTGTCCCCACATCAATACTGGTGAGATGCTTTTCAAATCTGTCCTCAGCAGGGAAGTAATAGGCAGAGGGCGCCCCCTGGGGCTCACACCAGTATCCATAACAAAGAGGAAAAGTCCAGTCTGGAAAGCACAATCCACTATAATAAAAGCACAAATTAAGAAAAGAACAGGGCTGGGATTTAGCTCAGCGGATCGGTGGCCTGCCTTGCAAGCGCAAGGACCCAAATTCAATCCCCGGTACCCCCCACCCCCCAAAAAAGAAAAAAATAAAACAAAAGCATACTTTGTAACATAAACTACAGAAAGCAAAGATGAAAAGTCCTTTCAGCAGAAAGGCTTGGATTTTACAAAGCTGCAAACAAAAGAGTGAAACCAACAAAGCATAGTATTCTTACAATAGCAACTTTCTTTAAAGTTAACATCCTAAATAACTTCCAATTTGACATGACCTCACGTAATTATTTTATGAAAAGTCAATCGATTACACATAAGCAGCTGAGTTCTTATAAATAAGATACTAAAACGGACTAAATTTGCAATTTATAATCAATGACAAAAGAAAGTTTTCAAATTGTGTTTGTCAAAACAAATAACAAATGACTATTAACCTGGCTATTAATCTAACACTTTTAACCAGAAAAGCTTAGATTAGACTAACACTGACACATCCTATCCCACACACTGTTACTATGTAGTAGTAAAATAGAGCACAAGCCATTGGTCACTTGCTGAAAATATCCCTGGATATTTTACAAATAACACATAGCACTACATTTCAAATACAACAGACCTCTTCCTGCTTGTTTTTCCATTTGTTGTTTTAATTTATAAGTTTATAGTAATAGGCAAAAAATTAGAATGTCTTTAAAATATCTTTTCCCTATTAGAAAAACTGTTTAAAGTCTTTATTTTTGTGGTACTGGGGTGTGAATCCAGAGCCTCATGCATGCTGGGCAAGTACTCTACCACTTATCTACATCCCCAGCCCTTTCTATTTTATTTTTTTGATAGAATCTGGGACCTTGCACTTGCAAGGCAGGCGGCAGAACCACTGAGCTAAATCCCAGGCCCTTCTTTTCTATTTTATTTTGAGTAAGAGTCTTGCTAAATTGCCCAGGCTGGCCTTGAACTTGCAGCCCTCCTGCCTCAGCCTCCTGAGTAGCTGGGATTACAGGCGTGCTTGTCTCTCTTCTTTATTCCAAATCAATCTGAGGTGGCTGGAGATACAACACAGTGGTAAGTTGCTTGCTGCCAGGGATGAGACCCTGCGTAGGATCCCCAGCACAACAGTGAATAAATAAAATTAAAAGTGCTTAGTGTTTGAAAGGTGTCACTTTTGCTTTTCTTCATGAGTTTCTACTTCTTAATAAATTCTTCTACGAAGCAAGTTCCTTGAGGTCAGAGTTCCCACATTATCTTCCTTAAAACCAACTGTACAGAACTTCCTACACCATGGGTGTTCAGGGAGCAGCTCCCCCTTAACACACTCCCCTTCTTTGTGCTATCACAGTACTCCTCAATGAGACAGCCCTGTTCCTCTAAGCGTTAAGACCCACTCTGCACCATACCTTCTTTATAAAAGATAGCACAGTAGTTAAAACACTTCACAGTGGGACTGAAAATACCATCGCTTATATGCTCAAACCTCTTTCAAAGTTAATAGCTACAGTGATTTTAAATGTTTTGGGGCATATTTCTGCACCTTATCTTATAGGTAAAAAAATGAATCTATTAAGGTGGGTGTTATTTTTCTCACTGTACATCAAGCAAAGTGAGTTATTAGACATCAGTTCATTAGACCATGAGTTGGGACCAGAACAGGTTTCTGTACACATTTTAGCCCAACTTTATCATTTAGTCCACTAGCTTCCAAACAGAAGTTTAAAAAATGAACATAATATTTTGAAAATTATAAAAGTAACTACTAATGTTATTTACCTTTTTTTTTGGTCTATGTTTTTGAGACAGGCTCTCACTATATAGTCCAGGCTGGCCTTAAACTCACTGTGATCCTCCTGCCTCAGCCTTCTAAGTGCTGGGATTATAGGCACAGGCCACCACACCAAGATATTTGCCAATTTTTAAAAGTTTTTTGAGAGCTTTACTGTACAAACTGAAAGAATAAGTACAGCAGATAGGTGCCTCCTGGCTCAGATACTCAGTCACCTCTGCCAACATCTGGGGTAGCTCTCACAGTTACACAGCTTGAAACTTCTCCTCTGAAGCATGTATTACATTGTTTATAGTCAGGGGCAAATAGTGTAAAAACAGTAATACAGAGATATAACTTAATGAGGAGCACAACAAGGAATGTAATTCCGACCTTGGCTTTCCCATTCTGAAAGAAGTTTAACTCTATTTTGTATGCGATGTAGGAAACACCACATACCCATTAGAAAGGCTAAAACTTGAAAAAAAAAACCTACAACACTGGCAGGGTATAGTGGCACACATCTGTAATCTCAGCACTCTGGAGGCTGAAGCAGGAGTTCTGTGAGTCTGAGGCCAGCCTGGGCTATATAGTGAGTTCAAGCCTACCTAGAATACATAGTGAGACACTGTCTCAAAAAGAAGAGCCATAGGGCCAGGGGTGTAGTTCGGCTCCGCGCCTGCCTGGCAAGTGCCAGGATTCTGAGTTTAACTCCTGATACGGGAGAAAAAAGCGGGGGACGCTACAGCACCAAAAATTCGCAAAAATGTACAGCATGCAGACCTCTCATACACGCTGGTGGAGATGTCAAACAGCGAAAACATTAGAAAAAGGTCTAGAGTTTCTTAAAACATCCAGTGATTATACTTAGATGTATGTATTCACCAGTAAGGAATGTATTTCAGAAGAAAGTCTCAGAATGTTCAGAGCAGCTTTATTTATAAGAGCGCCAAACTAGAAACAATGTGCTCATCAATAAGAGAACAGCGCCGGGATTTAGCTCAGTGGTTCCCACGCCTGCCTCGCAAGTGCAAGGGCCAGAGTTTGATCCCTGATACCAAAAATAAATAAAAATTTAAAAATAAAAAAATAAAGAGAATAGATTAATAACTGATGTTACAGTCATGCAATGAGACCACTTAGCATTTAAAAGGAATGGTTACGGATATATATGGATTAATCTCAAAAACATGTTGAGTAGAAGTCTTACAAAAGGAAAGTTACTATATGAGTCCATTTACACTAAGTTTGAAAACAGGCAAAAACTTATCTACTATGGTAGAAAATCACGGCAGAGGTCCCATCTGGGAAGGCGGGAATGGGGAGGACCTCACAGAGGCAGATGGCACTGTCTGGGTGGCGGTAATGGCTGGGCTTTCACGAGGCATCTGTCAGTCAGCGAAGGTACATACAAGGTCTGTGGCATTTCATCTTAAGTAAATTTTATATTAAAAACCTGACAACTTTGCAAACAAACAACTCAAGTTATATACCCTGACCTATTTAAGGGCAAGTATACTTCTGTCTGCAACTTACTAGGAAATGTGCTATGCAAATTAATTAATGAATGGATACAGGGATGGATAATGTTATAAAGCAAGCTTAGTAAAAGATCAATGACAGAATTAAGTGGTGGTGGGTATTAAATAGTTATTATAACGTTCTTTCAACTTTTGCCTGTGTAAAGACATTTTCACTGGGCAAGGCGGTGCATGCCTATAATCCTAGAACTTGGGAGGCTGAGGCAGGAGGATTGCCTCAAGTCTGAAACCAGCCAGGGCTACACAGTGAATTCAAGGCCTGTCTCAACTAGTGAGACTCTTTCTCAAAAAACAAAGCAAACAACCGAAAGAAGATTATGCAAACCAAAGTACTAAAATATTCAGACTAGCTCTAATTACTTATAAAATTCATTAAATTCTATTATTCCTCTTCTTCATTGTATTCTGCTAAAAAATAAAAAAACCTATGCTTGGGCCAGGGATTTAGCTTAGTGGTTCAGCCTCCTGCCTTGCAAGCACAAGGACCTGAGTTCAATCTCTGGTACCAAAACAAAAACAAAAACAAAAACAAAAACAATCTATGCTTGTAGAAAACAATTCAAACATTATAAAGTCACACGTAGCTGGGTATGGTGTTGCACACCTGTATTCCCAGTTACTCAGGAGGCTGAGGCAAGAGATTCATAAGTTCAAGGCCTGCCTGGGCAACTTTTGACTCTTGTCTCAAAATAAAATTTTAAAAGTGAGGGCTGGGGATTTAGCTCAGTGGTGCCGCCACCTGACTTACAAGTGCAAGGTCCTGAATTCAATCTCTGGTACCAAAAAATAAAAAAATAAAATAAAAATAAAAGTGGTAGTTCATTTGCCTAGCATGTGTGAGGCTTAGAGTTCAATCCTGAGTATTTTTTTAAAAATCTCTTTTATAACCCATAACTTACTAAAAATAACCAGTTTACAGAATACATTCCACTAGATTTTTTCTGAGCCTAAGAAACATAATATATTAACATTAATTGACAAAAATGAATTAAAAGGTGGGACAACAACAAAAGAACTGAAATCTGAACAGGAAGGAGGAACTGAGGGCTGATGTGGAAAAAGTGACACTCTGGACCTCCCAGTTAAAGAGGACAGTCTGGCCAGGGAAGGCAGAACTGGGATCTTTAACTGAAAAAACTAAGCTTCAGAACCCGCCCCTATATCACACGTGTGATTCCATAAACAGCAGAGATAAGAGAATATGGTTCAAGTATATATAAGATTCAGAAAAAGAAATTTGAACAAAGTAAATTTTTAAGTGCTAAGAAAGAAAAGACTAAAGAAACTACAGGTTGTATTTGGTGTTCTCCATTAAGTTCAAATAAGAATTGTTACATATAAAAATGAGCACATGATCCAGAACAGATATAGGAAACTGACAGCAAAGAGTAAAGGCCAAAATTCAAAAGGGGCTGAGGCCAAGCTATATTGAAATCCATCGAGTTACTTGATCAGAACAGAGGGATGTTTCAAACACGTTAGGCAATCACTTCAACCAAAGCGCTATCTCAGATGTTAACTGGGAAGAATTTACAGATTGCTGCAGTCTCAATGTCTGAGTCTTAGTTGAAAACAAAAATAAAAACAAGTGCATAATATATAAAATGAACACGGTAAGTAGGCTGCCTCCAGGGCACACAGTTCTCACTCGTGGTCAACGGTTACAGCATACCGGAGTGTGATGGCTCTTGCCACGGGGTCATTACTATGAATCACCGAGAAAATCCTTTTCACGAATTCATCCACATTCAGAATCTTCTCCAAGTGCTTCTCACTTTGTTGGGTAACTTTAAGAACACACAGCCTTAGGAAATTGTTTCTAGGAAAACCAGAGATAAGATGATTTAGGTCACTTTTGGACAGCAGTATTTAGTTTGGCATTCAGATAACGTTAGCAACATTGATAAAACAGTTTTATCAACTGGCAAAGGGTTTTCAAGCCTACCACTATCAGTCCCACCACCAAGAGTGACCCAATGGATGCACTGGGCTGGACACAGCACACACAAGCAGTTGGCTGTGCCCGGAGCAGCAGCAGCCCTGGAGAAGGCTTCACCCCCAGACCCAGCAGGGGGCCCCTCCTCTCTGGCCAACTCCGAGTTCTCCCTTCTCCTTCTAGCACATGAGTTGGTGGATATGAGCAGAAAGAAGTGGGACAGGGGGTGGTGGGAGAGGAAAAAGGTGAGAGGGTGTTTATCCAGGTCTCACATGCTTCAGAGACTTCACAGACAGGCAGCTCGGGATACAAAAGAAGTTAGGAAACTAAACTGGAAACTTCAAAACAATCTGAATGAAGCCAGAACTGGGTATTTCTGGCATCCTCCGTATTTGTTATATCTCAATAATTAGAATAAAGTACACATACATAATCTATTAAGGTCGTCCTAATGCGACTTAGCCTGTTTCCCAAAGAAACAAGTACTCTGAATCATGAGCCCATTCGAACCACCGGGCCATCCTGGTGGGGAAAGGAAAAAGACCATGGCACAAAGCAGAAATATGAACAATGCGCGTGAGGAAATTGAGGCTCCAGAAAGACTTACCCAACTCTGAAGACATCGGCTAACTTCAGGAATGCAGAATTGATGAGAATGGGGAATGGATACTTCTGGAAAAGCCTAGGAAAGCGAACCACTGCTTCACACTGCTCCCCGAGCTTGCCAGACCTCAGACCTGTCCCACAGAGGAGAGGATGACTTACACATCTGCGCTACAAGGCAAACACCAACCTACCACATCGCACGGCAGCAATGGTTCTTAACAATCAGGGGAGTACAAAGCTCTGCATTCTCATCCACAGATAAAACTGGAATATAAACTTGAAACATGCTTACATGCATAATAATGAAAAAGAATTTTTTAAAAAGATGAAAAATTAAGGACATGAAATAAATGCCAACAAATTTAAAGGACTCAACTTATACAATTTATGTTCTCTCACCACAATGGAAGTGGAAATCAATAAAGAGAAATATATCTAGAAACCTCCCAAATATTTGGTAATTAAGCATGCACTTCTAACACATAAGTGAAAGAAGAAATCAGAAGGAAAATTGGGAGTATTTCGAAGTGAATGAAAATGAAAGGACAGTTTGTGGGATGAAACTAGAGTAGTGTTTCAAGAACACTTATCATACCTCACACTTATTCGTGTTAGGAAACAACAACAGAAGCCAATCAATGATCTAACAAAGGTGCCAACCAACATCATTCAATGGAGAAAGGATCATTTTCTTAAACATGTGATTCTGGGAAAAAAACAATCACATGAAAAAAAACTGAGCCTCAACTCTTAAATTGCTCCATATACAAAAATTAAAATGGACCTAAAATATAACACCTAAATTTCAGGGTTAAAATTATAAATAGGTAGCAGAAACATAAGGGAAATCTTTCTGACCATGTACTAGGCAGAGAATTTTTAGTTAAAAACATAAAAGACGTGACCCATAAAAAATAAAAAGCCGATCTCCACTAAAACACTGCTGCTCTGGCTGGGCATGGCTGTGACCCACTGCCCTGCAACTCTAGCAGCATTTAGGAGGCTGAAGCAGGAGGATCACTGAGGTCACAAGGCATCTCCTCAAAAAAAGTAACAAAGCAAGCTTCTACTCTACAAAAGATAATGTTAAAAAAAATGAAAGGGCAAGCCATATAGTGGAAGAAAACATTTACAGAACATGTTATCTCACTCTGGGAAGTTGAGGCAAGAGGATCCCAAGTTCAAACCCAGCCTGGACAACTCAGCAACTCAGTGATATCCTGTCTCAAAATAAAAATAACTGAAAAAGGACTAGGGAGTTAGCTCAGGGTGAAGGTCCTGGGTTAAATTTCCAATACTGCAAAAACAAACTAAACAAAAAGACCCTACATTATCTGATAAAGGACTTCATCTGTATGCGTTATAACTCAATAATTAGACAATCCATTTTTAACATGTGCGTTATCTGAAGGGAAGAAATATGGATAGCAAATATAAATACACGAACAGATGTTCAACACTGTTAGTCATCAGGAAATGAAGTTTAGATAATAAGATACCACTACACACTTCACAGAATGGCAAAAAAATTAAAATTCAAAAAAACACAATACCAAGAGCTAATGAGGATATGGAGCAAACATAACTCTCAAACATTTCAAATAAACATGCAAAACTGTATACAGTGGACCCTCAAGTTACAATTGGCCTAACATATGAACAAGTTGGTTAATTAGGTTAATGGAAGATTATCTGCCTCATTATCTATAGCATGTACCCAGGTAAACATCCAGATCTCAGCTCTATTGACTTAGTTACAACCAGCCCTCGGAGCGACTGAGTTCGTAAATCAAGGGTCCGCTACAGTTCTTTGAAAAACACTCTGGCCCCTTTCTTTCTTTTTTTTTCTTTTTTGGTACAGGGGATTGAACTTGGGTCCTTGCGCTTGCAAGGCAGGCCACTGACCGCTGAGCTAAATCCCCGGCCCCTAGGCCCTTTTTCAATAAAGGCAAACATACATGTCTACAGAAGGATCTGTATGCAAATGCTTACAAACACCTCAAATTGGAAACAACCGAAAGTTCATCAGCTGGTGAATGAATATGCAAGTCTGATCTAACCATGCAACTGAACTACTACTCAGCAATAAAAAAGCAGCCAATTACTGATTCATGTAACATCATGGGTAGATTGTCAGGCAGTTCTGGAATGATTCCAAACACATACAATTTAGGCTGGGGATTTAGCTCAGTGGTTTCGCCGCCTGCCTTGCAAGTGCAAGGACCTGAGTTCGATCCATGGTGCCAAAAAATAAAAATAAAAAAAAGTAAGGCTTCCTTTCTCCCCACAGCCTCACCAGCATTTATTAAACTGGGACGGGGATTTGGCTCAGTGGTGCCGGCACTTGCCTTTTAAGCACAAGGTCCTGAGTTCGATCCCCAGTACCAAAAAAGAAAGAAAGGAAAAAAAAACAAAAAACAAAAACAAAACCACATAAAATTTGCTATGGGAGAGGTGTACGTTTTGCTGTGACAAAAACAGTGTCATCCCCCTCCCTGTCACACCTCTCAGGGGTGTGATTTAATATGACTTAGGTGGTTCAAGTAAGACTATCAAAGATCATATTGTGATTTCATGAATTACAGTTTACTGCCACATAAAGAGACTGTTTGTTTTTGACGGTACTAGGGATTGAGCCCTGGGCTGTCTCATAGGGCTACTTCCCTAGCACCTTTCATTTTGAGACAGGGTCTCACTAAGTCACTGAATTGTCCAGGCTGAGCTCTACTTGCGATCCTCCCGCCTCAGCCTCGAGTGCTGGGATTGCAGGGATGGGCCACCATTTCTGGCACAAAGAGATTTTATTCCTTGTTCACAATATTTAAAGCGGGGGTGAAGAGAAGAAATCTCACAGGGGACACATCAACAGAGTAGGCTGGCTGATCATTTTATTTAGTAGCAAGTTCTGGTGATTCATCAACTAATACAGTACTTTGAACACCTCTCTGTTCTAACCATGTAAAGCAAACTCAAAATCATTACGTTGAGTGAAAGCCAGGCCCCAAATCTATATATTTATTATATGGTTCCATTGAACAATGCGACCAACACAGTGCTCTGTAGTAGTTTATGTGACCAGAATACACAGGATCCTGAGATTTGGACTGACTGGGAGTTTAGGCGGCAGGCAGCGCAGGGCTACGCTGCCATTATCCAGGTGGTCTCTGAATCCTCTCCAGCCAACACTGGCACCACCACGGGCCTTTCTTGATCTCCTCAGTGTTGACCAAACTGTCTCTGCTAAGAGCCTCTAGAAAGGCACAGATCAGGGCTGGTGGTGTCACTCAGTGGGAGAGAACTTGGCCAGCACACCTTGAGCCCCAGGTTCAATCCCCAGCATCAAAAGCAAAATAAAAAAATAAAAGCCTCAATAGCAACAGTTCTGCTTCCTTCCTAACAGAACAATTGGGCCCTAAGTCAATCAGAATAGTCGCTAGGCAGTGTAAGTATCTCCTCTGTTGAGTGTGTTCTCCCGAGATCTGGGCTCTGTTCCCTCCTGCCTTAAACACTGAAAATGGGGCGGGGTGTGGGGGGTCTCTTTGTATGACAAAAAAACCCTGTGTTTCATGAAATCTTTGATCATCTTCTTTTAAGCACATAAAACAATCTCAAAATCCTCATGCTGAGAGAAAGAAGCCAGGCCCCAAAGACTATATCATTAGTGTATAATTCTATCCTACATGATATTCTGAGAAAGGCAACACTGTAGGAACAAAAACATCACGGGTGCGCCGGGGATTTAGCTCAGTGGTTCCCTAGTCTGCCTTGCAAGCGCAAGGACCAGAGTTCAATTTCCTGTACCAAAACAAACAGTTCAGGGGCTAAAAGCGGGGACTGACTGCAAAGAGGGAAAGTTTCCAGGGTGAAGGGAAATGTTCTATGCCTTTACTGTGGTCATGGTTTCATGACTGCATACAACTGCTGAATCTTACTATATAAAATTATATCACAATAAACTTGATTTTTTAGAATGCAAAAAACAAAAGCTAACAAACAACAGAGTTAATGTTTAGCCCTTTAAAATTTTACTGAGAATTAATATCTTGATATGGATTTAATAGGAATGACTTTAAATACTTTTTAGTATTTTACTATTCACAAAACGCTAATTATGTCTGCACAAGGAACAAGTGCCCAGAATACGATTGTTCAGTAACCTTTGCTTACTGCTAAAAAATGACAAAGGAAATCTTTTTCCTACTTGTCATGTTTCCACATGAAAGACAACCACAAAGTAAATGTGAGTAGGCAATTTCTACAGTCTGCTAATAGGTAACGCAATGCACTCATGTTAGTTTTCTGGTACCTGGAACGTACTTGCCTGCAGGAAGAACGTTATTAGCACTATCAGCTCTGCTACTACTCTGGTGAGCTGGGAGGGATGGAAGGGGGTGGGAAGTAAAAAGGATCAAGATGTGTTATGTGTATGTACCTATTCCCCCACAACGGATATATTTATTATGTACTGCAAACATGTACTAATAAAAAAGGAGGGGAAAGAGACAACCACCAACAAATGGCAGGTAAGATTCAATCCTGGCCATCGTGCTCCAAAGCCTATAGTCCTAAGCCATTATACTAAAGTGCATCTTAGCAAGCAATTAGAAGGACACAGCTTAAAATTAAACGGGACATTTGAATCAATGATTTCAGAGTGGCAGAATTCTGAAGGATGACAAATTCTATGGAAGGCAACAAAGAAAACTTATAATAAGGTTTGGGTTTTGATCAACTTTTCAAAAGACCACCATTTCTTGGGAGCGTGTTATCAGCAGTTCTTAGCTGGAAGCAATAGAAACTGGATGATTAGGTAAAAACAAAAACAAAAAAAAAAACAAAAATGGGTTTATTGAAAGACTAATAAACGCTTTTAAAGCTAAACTTCTTAGAGTATCTAGTACCACATGCCAAACTCATTAAATGACCACACCTGGTGTTGCTAGGAAACACCTGATGCTCCAGTGAGCTCTGCCATCCTCTAGGAATATTACGGTACTGCTGCTGCTGTACACTAGGAGTGCTGCAGGCCCTGCTGCTGCCGAGGCAGGAAAGCATGAGTCTATGCTTCAACGCTTCCTCTTGCACCTCTCACTCCTAAGTCAGAGCACAGAGAAGGTGCATCTGAATGGCAGAGCCTTGGTCAAACACTGCACTCTTCCAAGAAAAAAATAGCAAGTGAGTTTTTGTTTCCATCTTGGTGAGACAGGGCTTATGAGAGAGGACACTCCTCAAGAAAGAGAAGAATGTTCAAAGATGCTAGGTAACCAATACTGTGAGTACATCCACTACAAAGACCTCCACTAGTGAACCGTTACCATTAAAGAACATTTTAGCAACATCACGATGACCCAAAATTGAACCATAACATACATATCTTAGGCTCTACTAAGAAAAAGATGTCTGTTAGGAATGGGGTAGAAATACAAACACAAGTATGTACCACATATTGTAAGGTAACCTAACAATCCACAGCTTAGTAAGTGGATACTGGCAAAACCATATTATATTTTAAAAAGCAGAAATAGAAACAATTGGAATGATGGTCGACTCAACTAATGATGCACCAATAATAAGCAGCCTTTCTCAAAATTTCAGAAATTGATTATAAAGGCACATGATGTATGTAACATAGGGCAGTATGCACAGAACACTGATCTAGAATCCTAAATGAACTAATTTTAGCTTATAAATAAATGTGTAGAAATGTTTAATAGCTCACTTTGGAAACAGCAGATATTAGTCACACATAAAAATGAGCCTGAGTCTTAGTAAGAACTGAACAGCCTGGAGTTCTGATTAGCCCATTAAGGGATCACCAACCAGGCTTGAGAATTCATACTTCTACTGCTGGCTTTTAAATGGTTCTGAGTTATTAAGAGTCTGACCCTAACCTTTATGTGTTATCACTTATCAGCCAGCACCTTTTAGTCTTACAGCAGAGATTCTCACAGGATTTGACTCAATATGGGTCACACGTCCACCCCAGAACCGATATGCTAAGGCACAGAATTAGTCAATGGTACCAACCCGGCTGCTGAGGTCAATTTCTTTAGGATGAATTATGGGAATAAGTCCAAAAAGGTATCTGTTCATCATGACCACCAACTACACCTGTGCCAATATGGACACCCTAACAGCAATATGCGGTCGTTTTTCACAGTGAGAATTCAGATGTTTTGGAACACGGGTGAATTGATGGCATCCAAGGGGAAATCAGAATGCACAGAGAGTTGTCCCGCTTTGCATTATTTCTCTATTTCATAATTAACTTTTTCACTAAGCACGCTGGCAAGCTTTTCATGTTGTAGTAAGTTCACCAGCACCTCTACTGGCGACTCCACCCTCTGTATTTCCTCACTTTGCAGTGCACCAGGGGCCAAGAAAAGGAGTAAGAGTCACCACTCTCTTCTCCAGCTTTCACTTCATGCTTTCCAGGTTGAGTAATGTCACCGAAGAGTGACACCTCTTCCCTCAGGGTGAAAGACATCTTGTGTAATAAATTTTCCCAAATCATTAGCACAATTTCCCGTCAGCTGATGTAAAAATGCTTAGGCTGGCTAAAGTTACATTAGTGAGTGAAAGTTACACTAAAGTAATTTTTGTGAGACACTTTATGCCAATTGTGCAGAGTACAGATCATCTGTGTCATGAAACGTGTCCAATAAATGTAAACTGTATTTGACCATGACATGTAATTCTGCTTGCACCGGCTCAATCTTCACAGAAGTTCTGTAAGCATGGATATGCACTATGTACTGCAAACATGTACTAATAAAAATAAAAATTGTAGAGCGGTAGGAGGTGTCTCCAAAAAGTCAGTAGGCAAGTCCAAGGCAGAGAGCCCAGAAGCGGCTCAATGTGGACTTAAAGATTGTTCCTTATGACTGCAAGTCCAATTCTCCATACACTGTATTAAGAATTACGCGTGTAAGTCAGGTGTGATGGCCTACACCTGTAATCTCAGCACTTGGGAGACTGACGCAGGAGAACTGCCGTGAGTTCAAGGCCAGCCCGGGCTACAGGGCAAGACCACGTCTCAACAAACAAACAAACAAACAGTAAGAATTAGGAGTGTATATATCGGCTGATAAAATGCTTCTCCATGTAATAAAATCCTCCAAGTACACAAAAAAAAGCTTTCATACTCAGTTCTTTCCTGATATTCTTAGCTAAAAATTGGCAGACCTCTTCAATATTTAATACATGCACCTTTTGCGTACCACATCTTTAATGTGTACAATATTCTCCCCAGCTCCGTGGTACGATACCAGTTTGTAGACAATAAACAGAAGCTGGATAAAATTAGGTGGCTTGTCCATGATCTCAAAATTCCCAGTATTGGCACTCAATTCAGTCTAATCCCAAAACTCTCTCTACTACATCAGTGTTTCTTACAGTCACTTCCACTGGTTGCATAATCCGGGGCTATGCCTTCAAGTGGTGGGTCAAAACGGATCCCGTACCAGACCTCGAAGCTTGAACAGTTGCTACGAGCCAATCAGGCAGCCCTTCAATTTTCCCGCAATTCCAACAGCAGCAGCCCCGGCCCTAGAAACACTACGCGCATGCGCTTTCCCAGCCTCTCCCGAGACCACTACCACCTGGTGGCGCCACTTTCCCCCACGCCCGTTTCGCCCGCTCAGCACGCTCTTTCCAATACCTTTGTCCAATTCCATAAGAGCAGAATTAGCGTCCAGTTCCTGTTCGCCATACCCAGCATCTGCCAGGAAAGACTTAGTTGAATTTGACGCCATGGTCCGAATAGGCTCGACTAGCCTAGTCAGAAAGATTGCAAACTCTGCCTCAGGACCGCCATCTTCTCCCACCGCCTTCTCGAGGATTTTTTTTCCTTTCTCCGGCAAGCCGAGCTACGCATGCGCCCTGGTCACGCCACGGTTCGCCATCGCTTCTGCGGGCCCCCCGCGCAGGCGCTCTGGGAGCTCCCGAACTCCAGGTTCCCGCGGCAGGGAGAAAAGGAGGCGGGGATTTCAAGGGGGAAATGACTCTGAGGCGCCCGGACGCCACGTCGGGAGCCAATCAGAAAGCGTGACGTCAGTTTGGCGCGGAGTTTGGCGGCCGGGGCTTACAGTGGCGGGAGTTGGAGGCTATAACGGGTCGTGGTGTCAGGGGCGCCAGTTAACGATTTCTGCTGAATTTAGGGGGCATTTTCACGGCTTTTTCCTCAGCTGAGCCTTTTCGCCTGGCCCAGATGCTCTTCAATTCGGTGCTCCGCCAGCCCCAGCTGGGCGTCCTGAGAAATGGTGAGTAACGGTCTGAACCGCTGCTCTCGGCCGGCGGGATTCGCCTCCCCCCGAAACGCTCCACCTCGGATCCGGGCCGAGTCCGACTCTGTTCCCCGGCCCCGACTTCTCCCAGGGCCAGAGTGAACCAGTGTGGGCGAGGACGAGCGGAAGAAGTTGTACTTTGATTCCCTGCCGACTCTTTAAGCTGTAATCGGGCTTTTGAAATGATACTGTAGGCCGGAGGAGGGAGGGGCGTTGGGTTAACTTGGCCTCCCGGGCCCCTGGCTGCTGACGTCAGTGTCGCGCGTTCGCCAGAAAACAGCCGTGGTGGGGGCGGGGGCGTCTGCACGGCGATCCGGGACCTCGGCCCGGGCTCGCGCGTCTGTTGCAGAACTTTCGGGATCCCCACTATTTGCTGCTAGCGTGAGTCCGCTGTTAAGGAACTCAGTCAAGCAGAGAAGACAGTGAATTTGTTTTTAGTAAGGTCAGAAATCTCACGCCCTCTCATTACTATCCTGTCGTAAAAATTCTGAATTATAAAGTGAAAGACACCCATAATCCCAACCTCTAGAGAGGACCACTGTTACTAGGTAGAAGTCTATTCTAGGTGCTTTTTGATGCCACAGGTAATATCCACAAACGGGATCAAAACCCTCACTTCATGGTTAAGTTGGGCATGTTCTTATATTAGTATGTAGAAATCCAACTTATTGTCTGCAGTTCTTTAGGCTTCTTAGGTTAAAACATTGGCGATAAGAGAGTTGAGGTTAGGTCGGGTGTCGTCACCCCGAATCTTTCTGATAATGAGTTTACTGTGCAGGCTAACCTTGGACAGGAGAAAATCGCATTCACTCAAAGGTCGTTTGTACCCAGAGATTTTTTTTTCCCTTGAAGCCACGTGGAAAAAGAAAAGAGAAGCATCGGAGAACTTTTACACTTAAGAACTAGGTGCAAGAAAAGGGTTTTAAGAAGTAGACTGATTAGCCTCTCAATTCCCAATCTAAAACTGTGTCATCCTTTTCTACTTCCCTGTGGCATAGTCTTTGTAATTACACTTACAACGCCACCTATCCCTGACCTTATTTGAGTAACTTCTCCATTCTCTCTGTTTTGAGTGGCAGTACGACCCGCTGGTTGAGAACTCTTGTCTTTGCAGTCAAACTGCCTGAGTTTTCATTTCAGCCCTACTCCTTACCATTTGTGTGACCTGGGCAAAGTTCAGCTTCTGTTTTCGGACAGACTTCTAATTCTCCAAGCCATCTGTCTTCTTTTTCTCCTTCCTTCCTTCTGTTCACAAATGCTCATTGTTATGTAGTAAGCACTGAAATTCATTATCATATGTCACCCCCTGAAATCTGTACCACTGTCAACTTCTCCCTGTACCTGATTGGTGTGCCACCTTTGCCTCCTTTTGCCTATTCCCATGGGTGATTACAGCCATACGTAGGAATTCTTCCTGTACTACCTACAACCTTCCATCCCATTCCTTGTATTTTAGATTTATTTCTATAAAAGCTGTGTGGGTTGATCTTCACCTAATTGGTCAATCTCATATTCATCTCAAATTGATGTGCCTAAAAGGGAACTTCACATTTTCCCCCAGACTTCTATATTACCTATTTTAGGAAGTGGCCCTATTTTTTGTTTTTGCATTTCCGTTCCTTATTTTCTTCCATCCTATACCATCAACCAACTACAGATGCAACTTGAATCATGATGGTGGCCCTATTATTTTTAACTAGTATTCCTAGTCAGGAACCTGAGAGTCACTCAAAAACTCCAGCTTCAACACTATTATCCATTCAGAAAGTTCCCTTAAGATCTCTTGACACCACTGTCTTCTCTTCGTTCCCGATGACTCTGCCTCTTTGCCATATATTGGGTTTTTACCATTTCAGTCTTTACCATTTCGTTTCTCTGTTCTTGACCCCAAAACTGTACCTTCTTCTTTGGCAGGTATAACAAGCTTCCTAAATGGCTTCTTAGTTTCTTTTGCTCCAGTTTATTCTCCGTGTTGCTGCCAGTGATCTTTATAATATGGACATCTGATTAGTTACCTTCTTGTGTATTTTTTAAAATCAGTATCTAAATCAGTATCTAAATCTTAATCAGTATCTATTATAAAATTAAACATACTACAAATATAATTTCTGGCTATGCTGTGAATACTGACATCTTAAAATGCTCTATTGAATGTATCTCATAATGTAAATACTATAGTAATTTGATAATCTTATCATCTGTTTTTGAAAATGTGAATGAACTTTAACACTTGGTCTTCTTCATACTTTTTTTCTTCTTGAACTTCTTTCCATTTCATTTTGCTAACAGAATATATCCAAATGTAAGTTAATTGTGTTCTTTAAAAACTATCATATCACTCCGTGTCAGAAAAGTATATTTAAATTGTTATTGTCTATGATTATAGACGCCGAGGGCTATAAGTTTCCCTTGGGCTGATTTATCATCATTCTTACTGGTAGGATGCAATTGACATAAATAATATAAATTAATTTTGATAATTATTAGGAAAAAAGTAAAATTTTATTGAAAATAAATCTTTTATTAAAGACATGGGTTTGGGTGTTCATGATACCTTTATTAAAGGTATCATGAGTTTTTTCTTACAGAGAAGAGAGGCAGAAAACTCATTTTTATTTTAAAATATTTGGTAAATATTAGAGTAAGTACAGGTATAACATGAGGCATGGGAGTGCCTTTCTTATGTAAAGTGGAAGAAAGGAAATAATGAAGGTAGCAGGAAAAGGAACATCTCAGCCCTCTCAGGCAGGTCAGTTTTAGAAGCCATCTGTATGGAAGTTCAATATCTGCAAATTGGACCTCTGAAAACTCTTAATGCCCTTGTATACTTTCTGAGAGAGCTGTGTGTAAACCAATGGCCTTGTACTCTAAGGAAAGAACAGGCTCTTCCAAATGAGTGTTGTGGGGAAATGTGGCATGTTCATGTTCAGGAAACAGGTGCATATTCATAACACAATAAAGATGGAGGAGTCACAAAAATGGCCCATCAGTGAAATGTGTGTTGTGGTCCTTGGAGAAATGGGGGAGTAGGTGAGGACCACCCAATAAGTCTCCTTAGCTGTTGGTCGGTTGGGGATTTTAGTTGTAGGCAATGAGGCAAAGTGAGGAGTCAGTGTTTAATTGTAAGAAAGTTAAGTTTTCCAGAATATATTAACCTCAGTTCTACCCAACTGTTTAAGATTCCCTTTGACTTTATGCCTAGCAGTCATTAGATGGACCACACATGCACATTTGCATATCCTCACAACAAGGCTTCTGTTTTTAAATTTATTCTGTAATGGATATTTGTGAACTGTGCATAAGTAATTAGTGCACTCTTGTTTTTGTGGTCTTTAACAGCTTGTTTACAATGATATCTCCTTATGAAACTATGAGGTAATGCTTCCAAGAATAATTACTAAATCTGTATTTAATTTTTTGCCTTCTTTCTGACGATTTTTTCAGATTATCCCTGCAAGTATCCAGAATACATAGACCTGTCTGAGGTTCTGTCAAGCTAAAATGTCTTTATTATGCAGTACTTTGTATGGAAAGTGAGAATTTACGTACCCTAAAATGTGTCTGTGTTAATCTTTTAGACAGCTGTCAATAAATTGTAAACCCATTGTTTCCTCAGTTGACAAATCAATTGATTCTCAGTAATTATTTGTTTAATGAACACTTTTCTTCACAGGTTGAGCATTCCTAATCCAAAAACCCCAAAAATGTTCTAAAATCTGAAAATTTTAAAATGCCAATATGTGCTCAGAAAGTTTCAGGCTTCTGATTTTCAAATTAGGAATGCTTGTGAGGTAAAATCTGTGCAAATATTCTACAACCTGAAACTTCTTGGTCCGAAGCATTTCGAATAAGTTACTCAACCTTTGTATATTTAAAATGTGCTGATCCACATATTGATATGATATAAACAAGTCTCCAAAGATTGCTTATTATTTAGGACCATAGTGGGCCTTAGATTTCTGATCCAGCAAAATGAACTTTCCCTCCACCCTGAATTTCTTACTCTCTGTTCAAAATACAATTGAAAAAAAATTTTGCAAGGTATACCTGAGAGGACTAACATCTAGAACATATGCAGAATTCAAAAAAATTAGACCCCCCCAAAAAATAAAAGACCAAATAAAGTCAAAAAATGGACAACCAAAATGAATACTTTCCAGAAGAAGAAATACAAATGGCCAGTAAATACATGAAAAAGGTATTCAGCATCGCCAACCATTAGAGAAATGCAAATTAAAACAACACTAAGATTCCATCTTACTCCAGCAAGAATGTTTTAACCAAGAAATCTAATAATAACAAATGCTGGTACAGCTGCAGGGTGGGAGGACCCTTCTGTATTATTGGTGGAAATGTAAACTTATAAACTATTATGGAAGTCAGTATGGAATTCTTCAAAAAAATTAAGATAGAAATTCCATTCGACCCAGCTATTCCTCTCTAGATACTTTTCTTCAAAGGAGGTTGTCATCACATTGCAGTGATAGATGCATACCATGTTTATAGCAGCACAGTTTATAATAGCTAAATGTTGGGAAACAGCCTATTTGCCAATCAAAAGATGAAGGAAGAAAATGTGGCATTTATAGACAATGGAGTACTACTCTGCCATAAAAACCGATAAGCTTGAGGTATTCGTAGAAAAATGGATGCACCTTGGTACCATGAGTGAAGTAAATTGGCATAGAAGCTTAAATATGTCATGGTTTTTCTTATATGGGAAAGCAAAAATAAAAAGCAGAATAAAAATAGATAATAGGAAGTAGGGAGATCTTTTTCAAATGGAAAGGGGAGTGAGATGGGAAGAGGAGAAGGGAAATGGGAAATAATGCAGTGGAAAAATAGAAGCTTTTACAAAAGGGAGGAGTTGGAAGGAGCGGGGAAGGGGAACAAAAAATATACACGTGTATCAATGTACCACTATTAATGTCATCGTGTATTGTAAACATTTGCTAATAGAAAATCCAATGAAAATTTATTCATCTTTCAAGATCTTTAAAGGCTTTCCTGACTGAATATTTTTTAGGGTTAATTACATAATACTTCAATTTAAAATTGCTCAAATATACCTTAAAGTACTAGGACTTGCTGTTAACATTGTATAGTCCTAGAATTTCAGCACCATAAAAAAGAAAAGGAAATAAAATTGTCACTTACTTAGCAAATAATGTTACTGGCTATAGTAGGCACATTGACAGGTAATTTAATTTAAGACTGGGCACTGGATTATATATGATGGTTACCAGTAACTTGAGCATTTGTAATGTTGATTCAGAAACTCTAAAACCATAATGAAACTTTCGGTGAAGGGGGCAGCAGTTTTAATAGTAATGCTTTTGTAGTTGTGTCTTGGCTCAAAGCGGGGTACCATGTACAAAGGCCACTTGTTTCTTCTACTCTTAATGTTTTAATGAGGGCCTCCAATAAGGATGGTTAGCCAATGCTGAACCTTACCTAAATCTGGGAGTGTATTTGAATTTCTTCCCTGGGATTTTTAAAGAAAATACCAGAAACTGAGTGTTCTAGAGGACCAGAGGTACTATAGTGAATGGATCTATGTTAATGTAAAGCTCTTTAAGCAAAATATTTATCTCTGTGTTTGTTAAAAATGCTGAAATGAGATGCTCCATTGAAATCCTAAGCAGTCATCTTATTTTAGGGTGGTCCTCACATTATCCGCTGCAGTCCCTCCTAACTGGCTATCAGTGCAGCTGTCATGATGAGCACACATCCTACGGAGAAACAGGAGTCCCAGTTCCTCCTTTTGGATGCACCTTCTCTTCTGGTAAGAGAATCACTACAATCTGGGCTAAGCCTGTACAGAAATGATGTATTTCCTGTTTGGAAGCACAGTATACTGAGGTATCTTCCTTTGACAGAAAAATGAGTTAATGTTAAGGTTTTTCTAATAGCTATTCTCTCCTGATGACCAAATAGGCTTTTAAAATTTCTATGCATAATTAGCATAATAACTTATTTCCTCTAGCATAGGACTATTATAGCACCATTTTTTTGTCGGGTCTGCAGTCCTCCGCTCTACCAACTGAGCTATCGGAGGGTGCACTGGCCTATTTTTTTGAACCAATATATGGAAAAGGTCACACAGGTTCAGCTACGATGAAAATAAGTTTGCTTAGTAGACACTGCTTTTGATTTGCTTGAGTATATAGTTTTCTTTTGTTCATTAGAACAGAAATAGAAGGATGTGTTCCTACTCTTAATGATTTTAAGAGTAGAAAAGTGAAAGGTTGTGAGAAGAAAATTTTGAAACTAAGAGCCTGCTTGTTGCCTGTATCATTATAGAATTTATTTGCTGCCACCGGCTAGTCCATTCTGAAGTACCACTCTTGACTTAGCCCTTCTAAATCAGTCTATCTGAAGATCATTGTGGTAAAGGTTTTGAGTTATTTAATACCTTTATACTCCCTTGAAAAGTTTAGTGTTTTTTTTATATATTCTTTATTTCTTTCTTTAGCTCCCAATATGGAGCATATATTAGCAGTTGCCAATGAAGAAGGCTTTGTTAGACTATATAATACGGAATCACAAACTAGCAGAAAGAAGTGCTTCAAAGGTAAGCTTAGATCTATGATTTTTCCTTTAACATTTTTAATTCATAAAGCAAGTAAAAATCACTAATTAAATATATTCAGTAACAAGGGACCAGGTTAAAAGTAAATGAGGGACTGCCTACCTTAACTGTAACAAGGCCTTTTTTAAAAGTTGAGAAAAGTGCATTTTAGAATTAAAAACAATTTTTTTTGTTTTTGAAAATTATTTTAAAAGGTTAAATCTTTTACATTTAAAGTGATTGGGGAAATAATGCTTTAAATATTAATAAATTCTCTTCTATTTATAAAGCAAATTTCTACTGACCTTAAGAAGCTGATAATTTGAGACCAGTAAGTCTAGCACTGAAGTAACAAAACAAAGACTATAAATGATATAGAAGCACAAAAGCAAGCCAGAAAAGTAGGCTAGGAAATTTTTTCTTGAAAATGGAACACTTGAGTTGAATTATATTTATAGACTAATGGCATTTGAAGAGAGCACTCCAAGTATAGGAGAAAACATCAACTTTCCTAGAGAACACAGTAAAGGCTATAAGAAGGAATGATCCAGTTTGGTTGGAATAAGATATGGAGAGCAGTGGGAGAGATGATCTCCCAAGAAAGAGACGTGTGAGGGCACGAGTGGGTGTGATCTCTGATCTTTTCACTGTGGCTTTCTAGACATTTAGACCGTTACTGATACGGCTCCCACAGAACAGTGTGCCCAGTTCACATCGCCCATCCTCTTTTTTCAGAATGGATGGCTCACTGGAATGCTGTCTTTGACCTGGCCTGGGTCCCTGGTGAACTTAAACTTGTAAGTGGTTTTCATTTTATTGGGATCTGAGCAAATACTAGTAAAAGGTTGCTTTATTATTGTGCTACCTTATTTTTGAAAGGTTACGGCAGCAGGTGATCAAACAGCCAAATTTTGGGATGTAAAGGCTGGTGAGCTGATTGGAACATGCAAAGGTCATCAATGCAGTCTCAAGTCTGTTGCGTTTTCTAAGTTTCAGAAAGGTAGGTTTATGTTTATCCTTTTATCTCCTTAACCTCTTTTATGGTGAGAAAAGAATAAACTGTGTTTCTATCCTTTCTGTGTCAGAACTGCTACTTTACCTGTATAGATGGCTGAGATTCTAACGTGACTTAAAACAATAATGACATTAAGTGGTTTAATTCATGGTCATTATTTCCAGATTGTCCTTGAAAGTCAAAAGTCTTGCAGATAAAGCGAAAGGTTATAAATAGCCACAATACTTCTGTATAACTCTAGTTGTCCATTAAAGTTGAAACCTTGTACAGGACACTCAGTAACTCTCCAGTGAGCCATCCATCTAAATAAAGATGGGAGATATGAACTGGCCACACTGTGTTCTGTGGGAGCCGTATCAGTAACAGTTTAAATGTCTAGAAAGCTGTAGTGAAAAGATCATGATCAGCACCCACTTATGGATTCATTCACATGTCTCTCTTTCTTGGGAGGTCATCTCTCTCCCTTGTAAAATTTAAATGGAGTATAAGACTAGGCTGAAAGTCCTGATAAACTAAACATGATTCTCTACCGAAAAACTTATGGGGTAGTTAGTTTAAATGGCCTGGTTTCCTAGTATGATTCCAACTATTATTCAAAATTGATTTTTTTCTATATTTTTTTTTACTGTTCCAATGGGGAAAGAAGAATAAAGAATGCTATAATGAGAGAAGTACCATAGCATCTGAGGAAATACTTAGCAGACACATCTGAATGAGTTTTTCATTATAGTTTTTTTTTTCTGTTTCTATTTGTTTCTCACTAATTTTCGTTTTCATAGATCAGTAAACATTTATCTAAAAGAAGTATCTGAATATGACTTTCAGAATTATAGAGACAAACATTACAGTCTTCTTTAACATTAAAAAAATACTTATTTTAGAAGGAAATATTTTTACTTATTCACCCAAACACTCAGGGATATTAAACTGAGTTGTTTAGCTGGTTTGGACTTTTTTTTTGTACCAGTGATCTAACTTGGAACCTTGTACTTTCAAGGCAGGCAGCAGAACCACTGAGCCAAATCCCCAGCTCTTGGTTTGGACTTTTTATTTTATTTTATTTTATTTTATTTTATTTTATTTTATTTTATTTTATTTTTTGGTATTGGGGATCAAACTCAGGTCCTTGTGGTTGCAAGGCAGGCGGTGGCAGAACCACTGAACTAAATCCCCGGCCAGGTTTGGACTTTTTTAAACTACTGTGCATGCTGTTGAGCTGGAACCCTGAAGAGGAAATACATGATGTCATGAGTTTTGACCTCTACATGACTTTATTAACACATTTGTTGTATAGAGTTAAATTTACTGGATGCCTGTGCCAGAACTCAGACTATAAAAATAATTTAAGATTATGAAAATTTGTCTTAAGTGAAGGGTAATGGAAAAGGGAAACACCAATCCTTTGGTCCCTTGGCTTACTTTTAAAAATTCTGCATGTGGATAAATCTATGCCACTGTGTTCTGATAGAAGAAGCACTGAGTTAGACGTTGGTGCAGGTGACTTTTCCCGTGGCTCCCAGTAGTCCTGGTGTGAGTGAATCTGGTTGGAAACCACCCTTGATGCCCCACCATTTGGTTGGTGAAAGATGAACTATATTTTAGCTTCACTCACTTCCTAAGTCATCTGCCCTCCTGCCCTTGTGCCCTTTGTAACCGATAGAAGCCTTAGGTTTTATTCTAATGTTTGCCTCAGACTCTTGAGCAAAATAGTTTTTACCTCCCTGGGCCTTCATTTCCTAATTTAATAATGTTAATACCTAATTATTACCTAAATGTCAGAAGCCTGAGACTTTTCTTGCCTTTCTTCTACTTGGCCATTTCTAAAATTTCATAAAAATTCTTTTCTTTCTTGAAATCTATGTACTGTTTCCTTCTAATACTCCCTATGTCTTTTGTTGGTTTCAATTGCAAAGGACTGTGTGTACTACACTTCTTTAGCTTGAAGTGATAACATGGCTCAGGATATGTTGTTTGACCTTCTCTTCTACTCAGCCTGTACCTTCTCCCTGGACATTTTCATCTATTCCAAATTTTTCTTTGTTTACTATTCTAGTTATATTATCTTAGATCTATATTTTTGTACTTAGATGCTCTACAAGCACTTCAAGTTCAACATACCCAAAATCCAACTCATGATTTACCCTTGAACTCATGAATTTCCTCTGGCAAGGCCATCTCTGTCCTCCCCTCTGGCATCATTTCCTTTGGCATGAAGAACTTTCCTTAACATTTCTTTTAGTGGAAATCTGGTGGCAATAAATTGTCTTTGTTTTCCTTTATCAGGAAATGTCCTTATATCTTTGTGAGGGATGTTTTTGTTGCATATAAAATTCTTACTGAGTGTGGTGGTACCTGCCTGTAATCCCAGCTACTCAGGAGGCTAAAACGGGAAGGTCGCTAGTTTGAAGTCAGGCTGGTCAGCTTAGTGAGAACCTGTTTAAAAAATAAAACAAAAAAGTTAGAGATGTCTCTTAGTGGTAAAGCACTTGCCTACCTTGCACAAGGTCCTGAATTCAATCCCTGATACTGCCAACAACAACAAAGAAATCTTAATTGGCAGCTTTTGTCCTTTCATAACTTGATGTGTTCCATTGTCTTCCATTGTTTCAGCTGAAACATTTCTCTGTGTATAATGTCTTCTTTTTCCTGGCTATATTCAGGAACTTTGACTTTCAGCAGTTTGACTGTGATGTATCTAGTCATGCATGGTTCCTCCAAACTCTGGGGCTTACTCAACATTTTGGATTTGTAAATTGTTGTTTCACTGAATTGGTAAGTTTTTGCTATTCTTTTAATAATTTTGTCTGCCTGGTTCATTCATATTCTCTCTTGTTCTCTACTCTCTTCTCTCCTCTTGCTTCCTGTCTTCTTTCCTTCCTCCTGCACTTCTGGGACTCCAATTGCTCATTTACATGGCCTTTTGAAATTGTCCCATGAATCTTTGAGATTTAAAAATTTTTTTCAATTTTCTTAAATTTGAACTATAAATAACATCTGGTCTTAGTCTGCTTTCTGTAGCTGTAACAAAATCTATGAGACAGAATAATTTAAAGAGTAGGGATTCATTTAGCCCATTGTCCTGGAAGCTGGGTGAACCAAGGGCCCAACTCTGGCGTCTGGTGAAGGCCTTCTTGCTGCATCATAGTATGTCAGAGGGAATTGCACAGAGAGCTCACTTTCATGGCAAAACCACCGCCAAGATGACCCATTAATCTACTCATGACGCAATCCCCCTCCTAAAGGCCCTACCTCCCAACACTACCAAGGCAATTATCAAATTCCATCATGAGTTTTGGAGTGGACAAACCATATTCAGACCATTCCATGTACCATTAAATTTGCCTATTTTCAGTGCTTTTTAGTTTATTCAGAGTTGTGCAACAACTCATTGCAGTCTACATTTAGCACATTTTCATCAGCCTGAAAGGAAACTAACTTAGCAGTTCTTTACACCCACAACTTCATTAGCCATATATAACCACTTTACTATTTCTGTTTTTATAGATTTGTCTATTCTTCACCTTATATATAAATGACAAGATACAGTATGTAGTTTTCTGTAACTAGCTTTTTTTTAACTTAGCACAATGCAAAGTGCTTGCTTTCTCTGCTTCAAATTGAGTGATTTCAATGGATCTCTTTAGTGACTTTCTGTGATCTCTCCACTATTCTTTTATTTTCTCCACTCTGTTCTTAAACTTATCTAGTGCATCTTTTGCTATTTTGGTTATTGTTATTCAGTTCTAAGATTTGTTTTTATAAATTCTGTTTCTGCTGAGATTTACTGCCTTTTCCTTAATTACAAGTGTATATTATATACTTTATATAATCTCATAAATCAACATCTGAGTTGCCTTAGAATTGGCTTCCATTGGTTTCTTTCCCCTTGAGAGCAACCTCTTTTCCTGGCTTTTTATATGTCAAGGGCATTGTGAATGGCATGTTGGATGTTAGACTCTGGATTCTGTTATATTGCTTAGGGAAGAGTTATTGTTTCTGTATTACCAGTCAGATCATTTAGACTCAAATTGCAGACTCACACCTGCAGTAAGGCAATGGATCATATATACCATTTCAGTTTTTTAGTTTAAACCTCAGTCCATTTTCTTCACCTATGGCTCAGGGGTCAATTAAAGACTTGCACTGAGTTTAAACACAGAATTAAGTGTTCTCTTTCTCCAGCTCTCTCACTCTGGGAGCTCTTGTTGCTCCCACTTCCTTTTCCTGATTCCTCAGGCTTGAAGGATGATAGGTTTTTTTATGGGTATTTTAGCTGCCTGGTCCTAGTGCTACAACTGTGGCTGCTCTCAAGGTAAAACCAAAAAACACCAGTAGCTCACCCTAGGCCAATTTCTTACTTTAGTTGTTGACTTTCCCTCCAAATTTGTATTGTCTTAGTATAAAAATACTGAAATACATATGAAATTTGTGAAAGAGGTTGTCTCTGGGAATGGAAGGAGGGCAAGGGATTGAAGAATGGAATATAGGAGGGCCGGGGATGTAGCTCAGTGTTACTGCACCTGCCTGGCAAGCTTAAGGTCCTGAGTTGAATCCCTGGTACAGGAAAAAAAAAATGTAAAAGAATGGAATACAGGAAAACAATTTATTTTTGATGCTTTACTCTTTAAAATGAAGTATAAAAGAGGGCCAGGGATTTGTCTCAGTGGTTCCGCTGCCTGACTTGCAAGCACAAGGGCCTGAGTTAGATCCCTGGTACCACCAAAAAAAAAAAAAAAGTATAAAAGAAACTCTGCTTCCTGTATGGAAGAGTGAGCATTTAGCAAACTGCCAATATTTGCTGTAAATTGGACAGAGTAACCAAAAACAACTACCTGAGGGCTCTGTGGGGACTGAAAAAAATGAAAGGTGTGACAGGTGGGCTCTGGAGTTACATTGCCAAGAGTAAATTTACAACATACTTATCTTCTCTGAGCTTTATTAAGTATTTTATTTAATTTTGAGAAATTTTACAGTGAAAGATTATTATCTGAAGTTATTATCTATAGTGGATTAACTAATAATGGTCAACTTGGAACACCCAGCTAAACTAAGTCAGTGTGGTTCTTTCTGGGTGTGGAAGACCCTCCAGAGAATGTTTGCCAAGGGCATAAAAGGAGGACTGGAGGGGAAGATTTACGATTAATTTTCCTGGAGAAGCTTGCTGAGGCTGGTTTTCCTGATGTGAATGCAGCTGTTCTCGTCAGGGGAGCTAGGGTCCTTGCTCTCGCTGGGGATGGCTGCTGTTTTTTTCAGGAGAGCTGTGGTCTTTTGCCTTAAGCATCGCTTCCTGGCTCCAGGGCAGATCCCTCAGCCTGGTGGCACAGAATATCACCCCACCTCCAGCACAGACTCTCTAGCTTCCATCACTGGCCTTTGGACCTTCCAGGTGCAGATCCTTGATACAGTCTTGCATGAGGCATTGCCGTGGGCTCAGGGCCTCTGGCTGGACTCGTGGGTGAAATTGATGTGGGATCCAGGTCCTCAGCTGGATTCGTTAGGTCTCCAGAAGGTGGACGTATCTCTTGCATTCCTCTATGTTTGACTTTTTGGGTGAATATTATAATCCTGTAAATTACATGTCCTAGATTAAATTTCCTTTGCAAATCCTGACTACAACATTGTCTAAAGAAAATCTATATAGAGGGATCTTGAGCTCTTTGTAACCCTTTCCATCAAGTTGCTCCTTGTATTTGTGGTTGAACGATATAAATTTGTTTAATCAGACCTGAGTTCTGATTAAAAAATTTTATCACCAGTGCCAAATTCAGTACCCAGCGCAAAATAGATACTCTAGAAATTAAATTGAAATATGTCATTTGACTGATTAACCTTACTAGACTATTCAACTGTTCATTTCTCCACAGCTGTGTTCTGTACAGGTGGAAGAGATGGCAACATTATGGTCTGGGATACCAGATGCAACAAAAAAGGTAACCTAGTTATATTTTAATTTTGACAGAAGTGTGATCCCGTACTTAATTTTGAATGAAGATGTTACTGTTTTCATCTGATCACCACCAGAGGGCCCATGTGCTCTTAAACCCCCATTTCTGCTCACTGTTCAATTTTCAGTATACCAGTGATTATTGCAAGCACTATTGCATTCATGTATTTACCCCATAATGTCTTCTGGATTATAATGCCATCTGCCTAAATTATTGATAGGCTAAATTATTAATGCGTAAGTTCACTGAGTAAATGTCTTTAAATTGTCTTTTTAGCTTTAAAGAATGAGAATGAATTAAATATAAATTTATTTTCCATTAAGCAGATGATCATTGACCTGTTTATTTTAAATTATTGATGGGTTTTTAAAAGATGTTAATGAGCTTTATTTTGTAGAGCAGTTCTAGGTTTACAGCAAAATTGAGCAGGAGGTAGAATTTCCACATATCCCCAGCCCTAAATGCACACAGCCTCCCCTACCATGTCCTCCCAAGTGGTACATTTATTGCAACTGAGGATGGACCTACATCAGCACATCGTTGTAACCTGAAATCCATAGTAGACATTAAGCTTCTTTCTTGGTGACATACATTCACTGGGTATCACCAAACGTATGGTGACATGTCTGCCATCATCATATCGTAGAGAATAGTTCACCACCCTAGGAAACTGTGCTCTGCTGTTCATCACTACCTCCCCTCCCCTCTTAAGTGCTGGCAACCACTGATCTTTTCCCATGTCTCTAGTTTTGCCTTTTCCAAAATGTCTTATAGATGGGAACCAGAATATATAGTGTTTTCAGATTGCCTTCTTTTACTTAATAATATGCATTTAAGCTGCCTTTGAGGCTTTATGGCTTTATCAACCTTGCTTCTTTTTAGTGTTGAATACTTTTCTGTTTGTATATGCCGTTACTGACTTATCCATTCATCTGCTGAAGGAGATAGTGTTGGCCATTATGAATAAAGCTAATTGTAAGTGTGTGTGTGTGTGTGTGTGTGTGTGTGTGTGTGTGTGTGTGTGTTCTTCATTTTTATACATCATAATCTCACCACCAGAGAGATGGTGCAGCTGGCTGTGCTGGTTTCCAGTTTCACTAATCTGGTCAAAGATACTTCTTTTTTTTTTTTGGTACCAGGGATCAAACTCGGGACCTTGTACTTGCAAAGCAGGCAGCAGAACCACTGAGCTAAATCCCCGGTCCTAAAGTTACATCATCTTGAGGTTATATGTACAGATGTTACACTCACCGTGATATTAAAAAAAAAAAAAAAATCAGTTTCCTGGGAATATCTTTCAGATGGATTTTATAGGCAAGTGAACCAAATCAGTGGAGCTCATAATACCTCAGACAAGCAAACCCCTTCAAAGCCCAAGAAGAAACAGAATTCCAAAGGGCTCGCTCCTTCTGTGGTAAGTAAGATTTTAGAGGTGCATCTATGTCTATAGGCCTTAACGGCGTAGAATATCATCTGAGGGCATAGATGGGCGCTGTGGATTAGGTGAATGAGAATCTTCATTTCCTTTTGTTATCAGTGGCTTATTATTCAATACCTACAGAAATTGTTCTTAAACTGCAGTGTTATCTGTGGGACATGCTAAAAATTCAGCTTTTGGACAGGAGATCTCCAAACATAACCTGTAATACAATGTGCTTCAGTAGAAGTGGGAAGATAGTTTGAAGAACTATTGTATTAAAGAACTATTATGTTAAAGAACTGTTATATTAAATACAATGATAGTTTTTCAGTATGGAAAAATATCCCTATTGATTTCATGATGTAAACTATAGTAAAGATGGGAATTTTTTGTATATTTTTTAACATGTAGCGAAATATTCTTTAATATTTTGAGAAATGCTTTGGTAGAACATAGAGCCAGCGCTACCTTAGTCAAAGTTCAAACTGCATAATAAATCTCTTCAGGAAAAAAAAAAGTATTGCCATTGATCTCACTTTTCGTGTTTTTGTCATATTCTTGGTTTGTAGGGTCCAAGTAAATGTTCTGGGGAAAGTTGAGTACTAAAGCATTAGGCCTGAAAATTTCATACTGTTTATGAGTTCTGAGTAATCAACTCGGGCATGAATGGAAACAGACAATGGTCTATACAGATCAGATAAAGTTACACTGCATGACCTCTCAGACATTTCGATTCTGAGCCAAGAGAACTTGTTGTATAGTAGCAATTAGGAGGTCAAACTCCCCTGAGCCCCTCTCACTTTTTCAGAGCATGTGATCCTTCATCCATAATTCTCTAGATGCTCCAGTATGATAATCTGGGTAGGAAGCAATATTTTATAGATGAAACAGGCACAGAAAAGTTAAATGAGTTTCCTGCGGATACACAGTTTATCAGTACGGCTGAGACGGAGAAAAATCAGTGAGTTCAAGGAATTGAGATCTTTCGGTCTCCAGTTTGCTTTTGGGGAGTACAAGCTAAAGTGTTAATGCTGCCTGCCATGACTTAAGAATGCTGAGACTGTTTGCTTGCTAGCATATGTATCTAGGGCTGTTGGAAAAAAGATTTAGTCTGACAGTGTGGGCGAGGAAGCCATTTTCTTAGCACTTTGGTCTCTACATGGTGAAGATAGTACCCTAAGCAAAATTTCCTTCTTGTTCTGTCTTGCACTATTAGGATTTCCAGCAGAGCGTTACTGTGGTCCTTTTTCAAGATGAGAATACATTAGTTTCAGCAGGAGCTGTGGATGGGTAAGAGACTTTATTTCCTGGTTCTTTTGATGACGTGCTAGGAAGTTACCTAGTCCCATTGTAATTGAACGTGTACGCTTCTAACTTTTGACTAAGTGAATACCCTGGTTGAAAAACTATAGATCATACTGGAAAATATCTAGTTGGAACTCTTGCTCATATAATCAAGTGAGATAATACATGTGTCACAGCTGACACATTGTCCCCGAGGAACAGTGTTGGCTGCTGCTGCTGTAGAGAAGAAGCGATGTGGCAGCTTGCTTGCCTTATGCAATACAACTTAGTCACTGATTCTTGTTTGGAGGAGTAAACTTTGTTATTTTGGATTGTATCTTTTCACACGTGTGAATATCTTTCAAACAAGAGGCCTGACTTGGGGCATGTACCTGGCATTTCTGAGAGTAATCCAGATTTATCTTAAGGCTCAAATACCTTCACATACTTGCCATTATGACTGATCTGGTTTGTTTGTTTTTTGGTACTGGGGATTGTACTACGGACCTTGTGCTTGTGAGGCAGGCAGCGGAGCCACTGAGTTAAATCCCCAGTCCATGACTGATCTGGATTTTTGGCTTCCAAATAAGTCTGTGATCGTGTTCATTGGTTATTTTATAAAAAATAAATTCTTCATGTATGGGAACTTTTTAAATCTCTTTTTGTTTAAGGACTCCTGTAGACATGTTCCTGCCAGCTTGAACCACCGGTGGTACATGCACGACTCCCATTGGGCAGCTTGCATACCTGATGGGTTGCTTTGTCCCTTCCTCCCAGCAGCAAGACACAAATTCTGTCCCTATCATGAAAGGGTTAAAGCATCTTTGCCCATTTTATCTCCAAATGCATCACTGCCTTCACAATTTTTAATATATAAAGATGATGGCTAGCCGGGCATGATGGCACACACCTGTAATCCCAGCACTTGGGAGGCTGAGGCAGGAGGATCCCTGTGAATTCAAGACCAGCCTAGGCTACATAGTGAGTTCCACGTCAGTCTCAACAAACCAAAAAAAATAGATACTTTTACCCTTCTGTGAACCAAATTCTTGTCAAGAATGATTACCTGAGAGCTATTAGTTGCGCTTGTGAAAGCTTGCTCCATTTGATTCCAAGACACTGCCATTTTTTACCAAACTCATGTTTTCAGACAAAATGCACACTAGAAGTAGGGGATTAAGATATTTACCACAACAAATTAAATGAGAAAATATTTACCTGTTTCACAGGAAAATTTGTTTAAACTATATTACTGAAGGAGTTATGTATAGATACAACCATAGGAACAGAGCTTGCTACTTAATGATGTCAAAGGATATATGCAGAATATTAAAGATTTAGGAAGTGCTTTTCTAAAACAATGGAACAGTGACTATCAGCGTCCAGCTTCATCTTGCTTTTCCGCTCCCTTGAAGCTGACTCCCGTAACCCTTCACTGGGTCAAATCACATCTGTTTCCGTTTTGTCAGAATTATAAGCCTGACACTAGAAACAGTGGTATAAAATAGTTCAGTTTCCCAATGAGGTGTCCTTACTGTACCTGGTAAAAGTGCCAGAAGAGTTAGATTAAGTCATTTCACATTTGATGTAGGTAAATTTGTTTGGGGTGGGAGAAAGTCTACCAAGTAACTATTTGTTTTGGTTTTTAGGATAATCAAAATATGGGATTTACGCAAGAATTATACTGCTTATCGGCAAGAACCCGTAGCATCCAAGTGTTTCTTGTACCCAGGGAGTAGCACTCGAAAACTAGGTAAGCCTTTGAATAGACTGGCACTTTATGGAGATGTGAATTTCTGTTTAAAATAATTGGAAAAAAAATTTTTTTTTTATTAGGGTAGTGTCAGAATATAGACCAGAGGAACTATCATATGTGTTATCCTTTAAACTTCAAAAGAGAAAAACTAAAGATATTTTTAATTTGAATATATTTTGAAGACAAAAATTCTGGTATCTCGGTCTGACAGTCTTGTGTGATGATCTATTTTTGCCTCTGCATTTTAGCCCCAGGTCTGTTCTTCGCCATCAGGACATGATAACTTATATTTCCTTTTCCCAGGATACTCCAGTCTGATTTTGGATTCTACTGGCTCTACTTTATTTGCTAATTGCACAGATGATAACATCTACATGTTCAATATGACTGGATTAAAGGCCTCTCCAGGTAAGTATTAGTGATTCGTATTCTCCTAGTAGGAAACTAATAGGGCTTTTTTGTTAATGATGATTTAATTTTTTAAAAACAAAACTTGCTAAGCCATTTGAGGACTTCATTGTCTTTAATTAGTTCCAGTGATGTTTTCATCAGGGTACTTCCCTTGCAACCATTTTACTAGTAACCAGTCCTGCTCCATCTGCTGACTTGATTTCATTTTAATAGTGACTCTCCCAGAATCATTCCCTTTGGATTGTATGTAGAATTAACACCATGTGTAAGCTTTCAGGATAAAAGAGCTATTCTGCTCAACTTTTGTCCTCTTTTAGGCTATTAGTTAGAGAGCTGGGGCTATAGTTCAATGGTAGGGTGCTTTGCTAACATGCGTGAGGCCCTAGGTTCGATCCCAGCACCACACACACATACACACACACGGCGGGGGCTGACTTTTTCAGACTTCCTCCCCAAATAATTCCATCTTCCCCTCAGCCTTTTCTTTAATGATGGATAGTAGCCATTTTATCTTTCATTTTTTTTTCTCAATGCCACCTTTCCTTTTATCCTAAAGAATATAAACATAGAATCTGATACTTTTATTTAATAAACAAATGACGTTTAATAAAAGTAAATAATATTTTAAAAGATAAACCCAGGTTTCTTGAGCATGCTTTAAGAAGGTTGTGTTATTTTTTAAAATAGTAATGACTTCAGGAAGCTGCGTATTAGTGTCCTCATTCCTCCTCAGGTCTTGCTGTCAAATGTCAAAGATTTTCCCTTGCAATCTCATTAGGACTTCAGTATCTATGGCAGTAGCATTGCTGGCACTTCCAGGGCCTGATGTTTTTGAAACAAGAGCAAGAGTATTTGGAAAAGGGAAGAGGTTTTGTAATTTTTTTTTTTATTGTTTTCCTTAAAGAAACCAACTTGAACAGCTGCTCATTTCGTTAATCATATAAAATAGACTTTTCAAATTTTTTCCTTAAAAGATAAATCCTAGCTGGCCATGGTGGCTGACACTCACCTGTAATTCCAGAACTCAGGAGGCTGAGACAGGATTGCCATGAGTTCAAGGCCTGCCTGACCTATATAGAAAAGGCCCTTTCTTTTTTGTTTTGAGACAGTAAGAAACCAACTTGAACAGCTGCTCATTTCGTTAATCATATAAAATAGACTTTTCAAATTTTTTCCTTAAAAGATAAATCCTAGCTGGCCATGGTGGCTGACACTCACCTGTAATTCCAGAACTCAGGAGGCTGAGACAGGATTGCCATGAGTTCAAGGCCTGCCTGACCTATATAGAAAAGGCCCTTTCTTTTTTGTTTTTTGAGACAGGGTCTCACTCTGTAGTTGAGACTGACCTGGAACTCACTATGTAGCCTAGTCTGGTCTTGAACTCAGCGATCCTCCTGACTCAGCCTCCTGAGTGCTGGGATTACAGCCACCACGCCTGGCCTTTTTTCTTGTTGTTTTCTTTTAAAAGGCCCTGTCTTAAACTCTCCCCTACCAAAATAAATAAATAAATAAATAAAGCCTAATCCTGATTGTAATAGCAGATGTACATGAATTCTTTTTTCTTAATTTTTTTTTTAATTTTTTTTAAGCATTCTTTTCTATTTTTCCTACAGTATGGCACTGAAAGAACCCCTTATTTAGGTTGTGCGTCTGCCATCACTTTGCTGCTTACTTAGTAACTTTTTGTCCTAAAATTTTGCTGTCAAAGATAAATGGATAGATTAATTTGTTCCTTAGAATTTGAATGATGGCAGGGATGGGGTGTGTGATATGTGATGTGTGGTCATTATTTGATTTTTTTGAAGACTTTAGAAAGTTCCTGGACTCAATTACCATATTTTATTCACAGTTTTATACTAAGTGATATTCCTAAGGATGACTCTTAAAGCAGTTTTAAGAGCCAGATCATAAAAGAAGGTAAATTAAGGGCACCATATTTGGCTCAATGGTTCTCCTGCCTGCCTTGCAAGCACAAAGGCTGAAGTTTGATCCCTGGTACCGCAAAAAAAAATTTTAGAAAGAGTAAATTGAGCCAATTAGGTTTCAGAAAAATTCTTAGCAAGACTGAAACATTTATAATGTATTTCTTTTTTTTTTTTTTTTTTGGTTTTTGAGACAGGGCCTCACTATGTAGTTGAGACTGACCTCGAACTCACTACATAGCCCAGGCTGGTCTCAAACTCACATCGATCCTCCTGCCTCAGCCTTCCAAGTGCTGGGATTACAGGCGTGTGTCACCACGCCTGGCTTATAACGAATTTCATACTGGTCTTATTTTATGAAAAAATAAAACAAAATTTCATAACCAAATAAGAGAATAACAATAGCTATTATACTGTATATCATTATCTTCAAAGTGGTTACTTACACTACCAGACATAAACCAAAAATTCTTTAAAAAAAAGAACCATGTAACATAAAAATTTCTTTTCAACAAATGTTATTTATTTTCAAGTCTTTTATCAAGTTACCATAACAGATTAACAGCTAGACTAACAGACAATAAAACATTAGAGCAGCCTTTTTTTAGACCAGCAGAGGGCAATACTTAGAGGTTTTGTGAGAAATTCAGCCTATAGTTTTCCATGTATAGTTGCATAGTTGCAGAAGATGAACAGTTTGGAAGCAGTGTTCACAATAAAGGAGCCTCTTTATTTTGCAGGGATTTATCTATTACAGCAAGTTTACAATACATGTGTTTGAGTTGATTAATATTCTGCTTAACTTTCATAGTAAAAATGTCTTGATGTGGATGGGAGTATTCAGTTTGCAGACTTTAAACCTGTAAATACAAAATTCTTTTCCATTTAGTGTAGAAAAAAGAAAGAATTTCTGTGAGCACTTATGGAAAGCTAAGTCCCTTACAAGTACTTCTCTCCCTCTGTTAAAAGTAGTATGATTTTCCCCCCTGCCTAAATTTATCGTTAAGTTCTCCAGTAAATGAAATTTTCTCTTACATTTCTTAAAAGTTTTCTGGTGCCAAAGGCCTTAGGTTTTGTCTTCCTTAGGAGAAAAAAAAAAAAAAAAAAAAAAAAAAAAAAACTTGTCAGGAGTGTATTGGGCTAGGGCTGGGGATTTAGCTCCGTGGTGCTGCCGCCTGACTTGCAAGTGCAAGGTCCTAAGCTCTAGCCACAGTACAAAAGAAAAAATTTGTAGGGCCAGGAATTTAGCTCAGTAGTTTTGGCGCCTGCCTCGCAAGCGCACGGACCAAGTTTGATCCCTGGTACCCACCCCGCAAAAAGTTGCATTTAAGAGCGTATTGGGCTAGATGTGGTAATTTGTATAGTGAGAAGGCAAACCTTCCCCTGTGCCTCACTTGGGAACAGACTTTCTCTGCTAGCTGCTTTACCATTCAACCTATTGGCAGTAAGGTTTACCTCCCAGGTAAGCTTTCAGTTTAGTCAGAATTCACATGATCTTTTTCATTGATGGTTACCTATTCATGGAACAAATACTTGGATTTACTGTGTTCAAAACATTATAAAATCTAGAGAGGAAGACCAAGACATGAAATGTATCCTAAAGAGGCTTGAGGTCTCTGAGACGAAAGACCAAAGGATAATGCAGTGGAAAAAACCCTACCCTGGGGTAGAGAGAGAGTTTCATCTTCGTTTTCCTACAGGATTGGCATTGCCTACGTTCTTTACCCTAAGAATGTTTTTCATCACGTGGCATCACCAGATCTGTAGTTTGTTTAGTCCAACTTCATGAGGGTAGGTCTAAAATAAAGACTTATTTTAGGGTTTCCCTTTTTTGGCTAATGTCCAATTCCATTACCTGATGAGTAAAGCTATCTTTACCATGTGCTTCAGTAGTCAATACAGTGATGAAACTTGTTGGGAGATTTTATGTATATATATATATGTATATATATATGTACACACACATTAACATACACACATAAACGATGCACATGCACACAGTGTCTATATTTATTTGAACACTGGAAATAACAAGAACTAAGTAATCTCATTTTTCTCTTCTGACAGTGGCTGTCTTCAGTGGACACCAGAACTCTACTTTTTATGTAAAATCAAGTCTTAGTCCAGATGACCAGTTTTTACTCAGTGGTTCAAGTGATGAAGCTGCCTACATCTGGAAGGTAGGTTGTCAGCTTCCCTTACAAATAAGCTGTTTGTTCAATATGAGGTAAATTTAATGTGAACACATACCATTAACTTTTTCTGCATCAGATATTTGTTAAAAGTTGCTTCTCACCTCAATATAGCTGAAACCTTGCTATCAAAGAACATAGGTACTTTTATTGTGACCAAGGTTTATCAGAAGTCGATAGTCTGTATCCTCCACTTCATAGATTATCAAGGAATTGGAATGAGAAGGGTCGTGAGGGGCCAGGATGCAGCTCAGTGGTGCAGGGCTTGCTTGATGTACGTGTAGCGTTCAATTGAGTCCTATGCAGCCTTTCTGCTCCGTGCTTTCAACTCTTCAAAGTAAAATACTTTGGTTCTCCAGATCTTGCACTTGAATCACCCATAGAACCTTGCATGAAACAGTCACTGGAATATTTGTATACTAATTATATTCTTTATTCTCTCAACAAGTAGCCATCCTTCAGGCTCTTAAAATAGATGTGGCTGCTTTAATTTTACGTGTGTGTTTGTGTGTATACATATATACACACACACACACATATTAGTATTATTAAACAGGTTTTTTTATATGACTACTATAAACTAAGAAATTTAAAGTTATCCATTTGAAGTCATGGGGGAATTATTAAAAAGTGACTTCAGGGACCAGGGATTTAGTTCAGTGGCATTGCACCTGCCTCACAAGCACAAGGTCCTGAGTTTGAGTACCAAAAATTTTTTTAAAAAGTGAGTTCAATATATCCACAGTTGCAAAAATGTAACACTACGTTTTTGACAACTTTTAATAACAAAATCTGCCGGGTGTGGTGGCGCATGGCTGTAATGTAATCCCAGCACTCGGGAGGCTGAGGCAGGAGGATCGCTGTGAGTTCAAGACCAGCATGGTCTACATAGTGAGTTCCAGGGTGGTCTCAACTACATAGTGAGACCCTGTCTCAGACCCCCCCCAAAAAAATACTAAATGGTCACAAGGTGGAGATATTGTTCTACCCAAGATACTTTTATAGTGAGCCTGCTACTTTCCACAATGCATTCCTTTATTTATTGTATTTTAAATGAAATGATACTTACAAAGTATACACTAGAGACTCTTTCTTATGAAAATAGTTTTTACCTAGTTTCCTCTCTATAAAATTCTTGAGCTTTATACTTTATAGTATACTGGTACTAATCAGTATCGCTAGTACTTGCCTCAGCCTCCCAAGTGCTGGGATTACAGGCATGCGCCACCACGCCTGGCAGGTCTGTATCTTTTGAAGTTTATTCTTAAAAGAAAAAAAGTAGCTCAAATTTCATACCAAAAGTCATAATAAAAATTATGCAAAAATACCTATGTACCAGTCATTCTTTTAAAACATTTTAGATAAGTTTATAAATTATGCATACTACACATAATTATCTATGTAATTATATGTGTGTGTACATATTTCTTTAAAAATAGTTTTCTTTCCATTTCTTAAAATTCCTTCAACTCTCTTCTTAACACAAGGAACTTTTAAAATTTTTGTTTTAGTGAATGAAAGTTAAGAGCATACTTTTCCCTTTAAAGACACACGTGAAAGATAGTTGGCTGCTGTTTCTAACCCATTTTCAGACATCCAGTCAGTGGCCGCCACATACACGGGTGACCCCTTCTGAATTCCTGGGCTTGGTCACATGTTCCTGCTGAATCTCGTGGTTCACACATGATGTTCTTCTCCTTGTCCACACATAACTCCTTGTACAGGCCCTGTTATTTGAGATCCTGGCAAGCTTGCTGCTCCTAAAATTGAATTTGCCTAGTGAAGTGGCTCAGTTTCTCTTTTCCATGATTAAAAAAAAAAAAAAAAAAAAAAGAGTGGGTGATTGTGTAAAGGTAATTCTCTACAATCTGTATATCCAGGTTGGCAGGTGTCTTATAATTCTATGTCTGATAGGTAAGAATTCTTTTCAAGCATTGGAATTTTTCCTTGCCAAGAAAACCCATGGGCACAAGAAAGCAGTAAAAGAAAGGCATTATAAGACAGCAGAGAATGGCGTTTTAATCTTTACTACTATCACAGGGATGGGAGATGTAATAGATTCAGACTCTGATACTGAGGCTTGAGACTAAGAGATTTAACATTCTGCTTTTTAATTTTCCTATCCAGTGACCACCCCCTCTCCTCCCCTGCTTTCCTGGTTTGTTTCTGAACAGCTACTGAATTGAAGTGGTTATAAATAAACTGATTTGGCACAGCCATTCCTCCGCTGACTGCCGAAACATTGAGCCTGACACTTTAGGAAGTGTAAATGATCTCATGGCAGAAATAAGATTAGATTTGGTTTCCAACTGGGCAGAGTAAGGAGATTTTGTGGGGAAAAGTGCTGATCTTTTTGTGTGTGTTTAGATACACAAAATCCTTTATGAACTCTGCAGATTAGAGCCATTTACTTCTAAAGGTACCTTCCTAGTTTTAATTTTGGAATTCCTTACACCTTGGAAGCCTTTATTCTGTAAGAATACTTAGGAAAGGTCAATTTTCTGTGTGTGATTATCCCCAAAAAGTTCGAATGTTAGATGTCTCTTGGACTTGTTAGTCTCTTTCCAACTAAAAGGAAAGGAAGGCTTTTAAAAAATACAATCATATAATAATTTTTAAAATATCAAAGTGAATTCTTATTGTATTAGGTTCACCATTTAAATTATTTTAAAGTATCCAATTCAGTAGCTTTTAGTACAGTCAAGAGTTGTGCAACTATTACCACTAATTTCCAAATATTTATCACACCCGAAAGAAACTCCATTCCCTTTAACCGTCACTGTACACACTCCCCTTTTGTCTTATGGATGACCCTATTTTGGATATTTCACACAAGTGGATCACACAATAGGTGACATTTTGTGTCTGACTTCTTTCATCTAGCATGGTGCTATCCAGGTTCAGGCATGTAACATTTTATAGTACTTCATTAATTTGTATGGTTGAATAAAATTCCATTGTATAGCTAGACCACAGTTTGCATTTTATTTTTTTTGGTAGCTAGTATTGAGACCACATTTTGCTTATCCGTATGTCAGTTGATGCTCATTTGAGTTCCTTCTACTTTTTGACTTTATGATTGAAGCTGCTGTGCACATTCTTGTATGAGTTTTTGTTTGAACTTGTTTTCATTTCTCCTTTGGTATATATACCCAAGAGTAGAATTGCCTGGTCACGTGACATTTAAGTCTGTAACTTTTTGAGGAACCTTCCCCCTGCTTTTAATGCTATGTAAACTTCCTGGCTGCTGATATTGAATGAACAAATGCTGGCTTTTACTTTCATCATTATTACCTTATCATATTGTAGAAAATTTTTCCCAAGGTGTCTTTTTTTCCTCTGAAACCTATAAATAGTGTAAAAACCGTGCATACACATTCTGTTGGTGGGTATTCAATTTTCCTGAAATTTATTTAATCCTTTGTGTACACATTTAGATTCATTCTCTCTCTCTCTCTCTCTCTCTGTCTCTCTCTCTCTCTCTCTCTCTCTCTCTCTTTGTTCCCAGGGATTGAATTTAGGACCTTGCACTTGCGAGGCAGGTGTGGTGCCACTGAGCTAAATCCCCAGCGGATTCTCTTAAATATTTTCAGTAGGAAACTAAGGAAGAAGCAGTATGTTGCAATGAAAAACTAGAGGCAGTCAGCAGGGTAAACCAGTGGAAGAGAATAGTGTATCCCTGTGAGGCCTGTTCAGAGAGCATGTGGATTTTCTCCCTTTTGCCTACAAATCTGGGGATGAAACTTAGGGCCTTGCACATGTGAGGCGAGTGCTGTACTACTTCGTTACATCCCCAGCCACTTTTCCTTTCTTTTAACTTCTTGCTACCAGACCCATTTTGTCCTTGGTTAAAGAACTTAATGTACTGGGACCATTCCAAATGTAGCAGGTAGGACAATGTCTGGGATAGTTAGAGGCGATTTTAAAAATCCCTTGTCAAATGTTACCCTAGAAAGAATGACTTACTGTCTCTGGCGTGATACATCTTTGTGGATATAGGAAAGGCTTCCTTTTCTATTAAAGTTTAATTAACCTGGCAAGGCAAATTAAACTTTGCTCTGTCTTCTTTGCCTTTTGAATCTGCATGTGTGCCTTGTAACCCCAGGGAGGAGGAGGAGCAGTAATTGAACTGGATAACCTTATGAATCAGCATCATCTCAATTATAATCTGAGGAATCTCTTAGTTTACTGAGTCCTTCTCACAATTACTCTCTCCAAAGTTGCCTCCACTTTCTCCATACAAATGAGCCATGATTCAGAAGCTCAGCAAAATCAAGAGAAACTCCCAAGCTCCTTGCTTTTCAGAGAACATACCAACAGTAGTTATGTGAGTTTGTGTTCTTTAGCAACTGCTGTCAACTGCATCAGCTATATGATGCTATCAAATGCATAGCATCCAGGGCTAGGAAAGTAAGATTTCTAGTCCAGTGTGTGGTACAGCACAGTGTGACTTCCTTTATGCAAATGTAAAATGAGAGACTCAATTGAAAATTAAATTTCTTTAGATTCACTGAAATAAGATTTTAGCGGCAAAATATTTTTCTACAAAAGCACCACGTAAAATCCAGCTTATAGCCCTTCAAAATGAAGGAATACTACTTTGGGTTTTGGTAAAGGTTATTGGATCTTCCTTTTGTCCCAAGAGAACTGGTTGCATGTTTTAGCCCCCCTCAGGCTTCACAGTTAATTTAGTATTCCTGGAAGTAGCTGACTAGAGAAGGTCTGGAAACATCCAGGCTGTATGAAGGCAAAACTAGCTCACTTGAAGCTCATTCCCTGTCATCTTTGCTTCACCCTTCCAGAAAGCTCACCAGCTAAGGGAAAAGGGACAATGTCCATCTTGAATTTTAGTCAAAAGAGATATATGTAGCTAGGCAGTCTTGATTTGGAATAACAACTATCCTGGGATCTAACCTCATGTTCTTTCTGGACTATTTTCACTGTATTTCCTCAGATTAGGGACGAGTACTCCATTGGAGCTCTCTTTTTCTGAACTGTACTTAAGCCAGTTTAGGTACCTTTGGTAACAACCCTCAAGCTCACTGTGGCACAGTTAGAGAGATTCGGAGCCTCCACCTGGGAGACCTAACACTGCTGTGCTGATTTTTGTACCTTTCTCTGACTGGGCTAGGTCTCTGCACCCTGGCATCCACCTACAGTGCTCCTGGGCCACTCTCAAGAGGTCACATCGGTGTGCTGGTGTCCATCTGACTTCACAAAGGTTTGTGAACAAGTCTGCAATTGTTTAAAAGTAGATCATAGTTGTGTATGTTTTCTCAAGGTTTGAGAGACAGAAACTGTCTTAAAATTCCTTTCATGTATGATATGTTGGGGGGGTTACCTATTGTTCCCATCTAGATTTTTATTTTTTACCTTTAAGATTTAAAAATTGTAGAACTAAAGGAATAAGGATGAATTGGTAGTCATTCCTCCTCTAAGTGTAGAATTAGGTTTTAACTGAAAATTTCATTTTAAGATCTAAGGTGAAAAAGCAATCACAGATTAGAACTATTCTTTTTCACCTTTACATATTATCAGTGTGCATAAAAGATAATGCCGTGACTGTTATTCACAGTCCAATTTGGGTTTTCACGTATGACTAATACAGTGGCTCCAGTGAAGTCTCTTATTTTTTTTGGCACTGGAGATCAAACTCAGGTCCTTGTGCTTGTGAGGCAGGCAGTGGAACCACTGAGCCAAATCCCTGGCCCTTCACTATGTAGTTCAGACCGCCCTGGAACTCGCTGTGTAGCCCAGGCTGGTCTCAAACTCCCAGCGAGCCTCCTGCCTCGGCCTCCCTATTGCTGGGATTACAGGTGTGCACTGCCATGCCCAGCTTCCAATGCAGTCTTAACTGTAGCCAAACTTTTTCAAAAAAGTAGGCCTGAGATGTTTTAGACATTCTAGAAAGAAAATATGCCTACCTTTTAATTTTTTTATGGTGAATATGTGACACTAAAACCTAAAATGTAGAAAGGCCAGAAACATAACTATGTATGTATAGCAATTTCATATAACAGTAGCCCAGGTTCCACTCATTCTCCCAGTCCCTGTTGCCTATGATCTTTGTTATTCTGTGTTCCACAGGAAGTCTCACTTCAGTGGCGGTCTCCCCTTTTCATGTATGATATTTTGAGATCTTGTTGCCTGTTGTTCCCACCCACCTAGGTTTTGTTTTTGTTTTTATCTTCCAGGAACTTCCTATTGTCTGGCTTGTTTGCGGCATCCCTGCCAGCCTTCCAATATCACTGTAGATTTCTCTTCATTTTTCTCTTCCTGTTACCATTTCAGTGGTCTGCTTCATGGCAGACCTTTTTTTTTTTTAAATCATTGCTTGAATCATCCATAATTATACCCCAATGGCATTCTTTTTCTCCATGATTCCATGTCATTTCCAATAAGATATCTGCTTTTAATGCAGGGTACTGTATCTTCATGGAACTCACTAAGATGAATGGCTTTTTAATTACTCAGATGATTATGTAATCTTTTTTTCAGCCATCATGTATTATCCTTATTTCCTATGAGAAAAGAGAGACTCCAAGGAAATGGCAAGGCTGATTGCCTATACCCACCGAGTGATTTTTCATCAGCCTGGAACTAAGGAGGTAGAATATGGTACTCTAGACAAATAACTTTATTCTCATTTTTCAGATGAGATTATTTGAGTTCCAGGTTTGTTGTATTGTAAGGATTAAATAAGATACAGAATATAAATGACCAGACATACACTAGCTGCTCTGTAAATAATCACTGTAAATTGTCACAAATAACAATACATAGGATTCCAAACATTTCTTGTTGAGCAGTTAAATATATGGTATCTTCTTGTGGCCTCCCAGTAAGGAAAGGAAAAAGTTTCCAGTCTCTTGGGGGCCAAGACTTAAGAGAACGTGTGTTCTTTTTTCTCTCCCTTTGGTGACTGAAAATAGAGAAATTGTATAAACAAATGCTGGAGAATAACTCTGGAACCAGTGGCCATTTGCCACAAGCTCTTCAAGTTAGACTTTCTCTGCCATAAAAGGCTTAGGACCACAATCAGGAATGGTCAGATATTTTTGAAGGGGCAAAGGTTATTTTTAACTTGTTTCTGCCTAGTGAACTTGTTGTTTTCCCAGATTGCTCCTTTACCTATCTGAAAAAGAATCTCAAAGGAACGGTTTCATTGTACTCGTGATGGCCTGCTAGAGTTATGGGCTAAGTCTGGTCTTAGAAATGACCCCAATACTTTAGCAAGAAGGCAGAACATGCAGAATTTAAAAGAAAGGCGTAGAAATGTGGTGATATACAGTGATTTTGACAGAAAACAGGATTGTATTTCACAGTCAGCGTAGAAGATGATAAAGATTGCAACTTGCTCAACTTCTTGAGAGGACAAAATGAGCCTGTCGTAGAACTTTAGGCTAGACAACAAATTACTGGTGACGAGAGTTGTTATCAGTAAGTATATGAAGAAGAAACTAGAGTTAACTTCTTTGAAAATTCAGAATGATTTTCAAGAACTTCCAGTGGAAGCTATATGATTGGGGAGTGAAAGTATATTATCATCCAGATACCACTTTATCTTATTAGGGCAGACAGAATAATTCTCCAGTGATGAGTCCTCAGGGTACATCTGTTTTTTATTTTGTTGTAAATCTTTGATTGAAATTTCATCACTCCTTTCCTGCTGCTTCTTAGATTGCTACCTGCTCTGATGACAACACTTTAAAAATCTGGCGCTTGAATAGAGGCTTAGAGGAGAAACCAGGAGCAGATAAACATTCCATAGTGGGTTGGGCCTCTCAGAAGAAGAAAGAGGCAAGAGCCAGCCTAGGTAAGGATATCATGCATTTTCTTAAGTCTTTTTTTTTATGGTTTCATTGGTAAATAGTGGTAGGCTATATTTGATTTGCTCTGGTATGTTTTTTAAGAAAAGCACCATCTTCTTGACATTTGGTCTTCTCAAAAATATTTTTTGAGCACTACTATATGTATTATCTCCAGGGCAGCGGAATACAATGCTGGATTTATGCAACAAATATCTTCCAGAACACTTGCTCTGTGGATACTGTTCTTAGCCTGAAGAGTCAACAGTGAACAAAAAGTTTTTAAATCCCAAAGATATACACAGCTTATGTATTAGCATGAAAGGCAATAAATAAGATAAAGAAGTAAAATAACATTGTGTCAAATAGTGGTTAGCAGTAAGTGCTTAGGAAAATGGAAAACAGGCAGAATGACGAAGTGCTGTTAAATTTTTCTGTTAGGTGATAGGGAGGAGGCCTCGTTAAAAGAATGACATTTGAATGAGAAAGTTGAGGTATTGAGCCATGTGGATATTTTGGAAATATTCCTGGCGGACAAAATGGTAAGAGTGGAAGAGGAGCAGGGCTGGCAGATCTTCAGTAGAGGTTAAGGTGGCTGTAGCCCCTGTGGCTAAAGCAAGCAAAGGAGAGAGGAGAATAGCAGTAAAAGAGGATGTTCTTGTACAACTTTGGCTTCTATTCTGACAAACAGCGCCGGAGGGTTTTGAGCAGAGTACCATAATGTGACTTTTAACTTGATGATTTTGTGCCTGTGTTGAGAATGAGTTACAAGAGGGTCAATATAAAAGCAGAAAGCTAATTTTAAAATGTATTTGAAATAATCCAGGAAGTGATCATGGTGACTTGGATGTGAGTGGCAGCAGAAGATATGGGAAGTCATCAGATTGTAGATATGTTTAAGATAAAGCCAACAGAACATACTGAGAGATAGATGTGGGATGTAAGGGGGAATCACCAAAGATGAATTCAGAGGTTTTGCTTGAGAAGCTAGAAGAATGGAGTTTCTTTAACCTGGGTAGGAATCCCCACCAGGAAGAGTTTTGGGAGGGAAGCTGGACTTCTCTTTAGATATGTTGTTTAATATAATTATTAGACGTGCAAAGGGAGATGTCACAGTGGCAGTTAGACATTGAATTCTGTAATTCGGCCTAGTGTTGTAAATTTGGGGTTCATCATGATACATGTGAAGGTGGGTGTAGATGGAAAAGGGAATAGAGCAGAGATGTGAGCCATGGGGCACCCCACTGCTCAGAGGTCAGGGAAGTGACAGATACTGTTAAAGGCTACTGAATAGGCCCAGTCTGAGAATTAAGAGTGTCATGTCCTGGAATCCAAGTAAAGAAGGAGCAAAGGATGAATTTGATTCAGTGATTCTGGCTTACCAAATAGGATGAGGCTCATTGGCCTGATTGGTATCATTCAGGATGATGACAGAAAAGAACTTGGACACTACCAACCGAGGAGTTTTGCTATAAAGGAGAGGAGACAGTGAAGTTGCTGCAGAAAGAATTGGCATTAAAATTTGGTGGAGTTGTTTTTTCTCATTGTTTTATTCTTTTTTATGGAAATATAGCATTTTATATGTCATTGGAAGGATCCTAGAGAGGGGGAAATTCATGCAGAGAAATTTATTGAAACAGTCTTTGCAGACAGTGGAGATAAGTGGCTGATATGCAAAGAGAGGGTCACACCTTTGCCAGGAGAACAGAGGTGGTTGGTCCGTAGCAACTGGGGAGAAGGCAGAATATGTAAGTGTGGCGCAGGCAGCTGAGGAGACGGGATGATCAGGACTGAAGAAAGTTTTCTTTTGTTTTATGACTTTTTCTCAATGAAATTGGAATTGAGGTGATCAACTAAGAAAAAGCATGAAGGCAGAGATGTCATATTTGAGGCTATAAGGAAGTCTGAAATAGTTGTTTAGACAATAGAATACGGGGCTGGGGAAGCAGGATTGCTGGAAGAGTTGACTTGAAGCGCACAGTCCTTAATTGAGAGCAAGCTTTCAGCACATTTTTGTGTTTACAGTACAGATGTAGGTATACTACTGTGTTAGCCCTAAAATAAGACCTAACCAGAAAATAATCCCTAGCCTGCAGCAGGCCATGATTTGGGTGAGAATTCTTAGGTTAAAATCACGGACAGCTGTGTTGCTAATACACTGTGATCAGGCTACATGGACAAGAAGTGCTCATTTAAGGAGAGCTCTGTTGTTGGACGTGAGAAATCTGGGCCACTGGTTCTACGGGAAATGGAATCACAAGAAATTCAGACTGAAATTTGGGGTTTAGAGAGTTACAATGATGTTCCAGAAGATGACCGTATTTGAATAAATGTAGATTTTTGTACATGAATGGATGTGTAGACTGTTGTACATGAAAAAACAAGACATCCCCTGAAAATAAGCCCTATTGTGTCTTTTGGAGTAAAGGTTAGTATAAGACCTGGTCTTATTTTTGGAGAAATACTGTATAGGCACAGTTGGATTTAACCACGGAGTTGGTTTAGCAAAGCAGGTATGAGGAAGAGAGCAAGAAAGTAGAAGGTGGTGGGCGTGAGAGGAGGATGGTGACGAGTGCCCGTGGGTTTAACCTGGCTGAGGATGTGCTGAAGACAGAGTGGACCTCAGCGACCACGCAAGAGCGGCTCTGCGAACGGACTGCAGGACTCCAGGAAGGAAAGATGATGATAGCTGAAGTACTAACGGGAGCTGGGAGGATGGGTAGTGAGCAGATTAGAATGACTGAAATCAAGATAATGGGGAGTGGAAGGTCAAGAAATAAGAGATTGGCCTAGGTGAGTGCGTTTTATAGAAGATGATCAAGAAACTGAGAAACCAAGATATCTGAAAGATCATGTATGAGTTTTGTCATCGCTATGAATTGACAAAGATAGTATTGAAGATAGAAACAGGGCCAAGGGCAAAAATCCTGTAAGTACTGAGCCAGTAAAAGAAGATCCTCATGCTACCAGCAGATATGCAGTGATGAATTTGAAATTCAACTCAAAGATCCATTGTGCATAGCCATTAAGGCCTAAGCTTACTGGGGTGTTGAAGATGAGACAGAGTACAGAATTATATTTCTGTTGCTCTCAGTCTTTCTATAAAATCTTTGATGGCACTGCCATATTTGGTTTTTTGTTGTTAATTTTTTGTTTTTCTTTAAAACTCTGATTTTAATTTTTAGTTTTAATAGTTTTTAAGTTCTACAGAGGTGAATAAGGTAAACAGCAGTCCTCAGAGTTTCCCTTTCACAGAGGCAGCTACTCTAATTTCTTAGCTGATTCTTTAATATGTATACGTGTTTGTGTCTTTGTGTGTATTATGTCTGTATCTTTAAAAATTGTACACTTATATTTCTTTGTTTTTGTAGCTTTCAGCTTTATTGAGTTCTTTCTTCTGTGAGTTGAGAATTTAACTCTTTCCTATGTCCCACCACTTCCAAACCTGCACACTCCCATCCTAATAGAGTAGGGTTAGATCAACGTACAGTTCAGTGATTTTTTTTTTTTGTATATTTAGAATTGTAACATCATCAGTAGCGTAATTCTAGAATATTTTCAGCATCCAAAATGAGGTTTCCTCCATGTCCTTGCTAACACTTGTTGCTGTTCATCATTTTTATCAAGCCCATGTGAGTAAAACCTATATGAATTGGTGTCCTATTGTGGGTTTATTTGTATTTTACTGATGTCCAGTTAACAGAAACATTTCTTCATATGCTTATTGGCCATTTATATATTTTCTTTGATGAGATGCCTATGCAGATTTTTGCCTACATTTTAATTGGATTTTGTCATTTCTGTAAGCGTTCTTACTCTGTCTATTGTATTCTCTTAATTCAATCCCTTGACATATAAATCTGTAATTTTGATGAAGTCCAATTTATCTATTTTTTTTCCTTTGGTCACTTGTGCTTGTAACATTGTACCAAAGAGGCTGTTGCCTATTCCAAGATACAAAGATTTATTCTAACGTTTTCTTCTGTGGTTTTGTGAGTGTGTGTGTGCGTGTGCGTGCGTGCGTGTGTTAGTTTTAGGTCTACAATCCATTTTGAGTTTATTTTTGGGTATAGTGTGAGGTGGGATTCCAAATTCATCCTTTTGTATCCAGCTTTTTTGACATTATTTGTTCAATTTTTTGTTTGTTTGAGACAGCCTCACTGTGTTCCCCAGGCTGGCTTCAGAGTCATTGTCCTCCTGCCTTAGCCTCCCAAGTAGCTGGTGTCAGAGGCCTGTGCCATTGTGCCCAGCTCAAAAGATTATTCTTTACCCCAAAGAATTGGCTGTCTTGCCAAAAATCAGTTGATTTAAATACTAGGGTTTATTTCTGAACTTTTTATTCCATTAATCTATATTCTGTTCTTATGCTTGTACTGCATTGTCTTGATGATTACTTATAACTTGTAGTCAGCTTGAGTCCTTCAGTTTTCTTCTTTTTTATGATTGGTTTGAGTATTGTGAGTCTCTCCATAAATTTTAGAATCAGCTTGTTAATTTCTACAAAATAGCCACTAGGGGTTTTGATAAGGTTTTAAATCTTCTGATCCACGAATTAGGGAAGTATTTCTGCTGCTTCTTTTCTGTGTACTTCTTTCTTAAATTTGGACATTCTGGAAAAGAAAATTATGTGAAGAAAAATACCATGAGTATTCCCTCCACTTATCCAAAATTTTGTACCTAGAGATTCTTTTAACTGAATCGTTGTTTTACTGTATATACAGTTTGATTTCTTGAGGCTTTTCTCTCTGAACTTGAAGTTTTAAGACTTAACATACTATCTTATTTCATAACACTATTTAAAATATTCCATCGAGTAGATGATCTGCACTTTACCTAGCTATTCTACTATAGTTAGACATTTTGTTTCCAGTATTTTGGAAAAGTTGGGCTGGGCTTGCACTAGCACTCTGGGAAGCTGAAGCAGGATTGAGGGTCGAGCCCCACCTGGGCAACTGTGTGATGTAGCAAGACCCTGTCTCAAAACTGAAAACACCAATAAAAAGGCTGGGGATGTAGCTCAGTGCAAAGATCCTAAGTTCAATCCCCAGGACTGCAAAAAAAGGTGAGGTGAGTTTTTTTCTCCCTGAATTTAGGGTTCTGCTTCTCATGAAGGTAGTTTCTCATAGGTGGAATTCCTATTTTGATGGCTATATTTTATCACTTTGAAGATTTGTGATGAAAAGCATCTTGCTTTAACTAGCTATTTTCAGTGTGTCATTAATTATTTTGAGTTTTAGAAACAAAGTCACCAAAAAGGTTGCACAGATCTGCACCATCATAACAACACTGAGTTATTATTGAGTCTTGGCATAACCTGCTTTAAGTATTTTACTTGATTCCTAAAAGAACTGAAACTGAAGATGGAGGAAGTAGACCTACCTCAGGTTGCAGAGCTGTGAAGTTGCAGTAGAGCCAGAGCTCAAACCCTACGGTTTAATTCTGCAGCAGATATTGGGGCTGCTCTTCAGTGGCCATGTGGCCTCCTTCAGGCCTCAACATAACAGCACAGATTAGCTTGGAACCACACTGGGAGTTAGGCCTAGATTTCTGCACTTTTGAGTGATGCTAAGGTTACTCTGAAGAGGATTACAGAGCAACAGCATGGGTGCTGACTGGCGCACTGGCTGTCTGACCCTCCAAGCCAGCTTCCAGCAATAGACTGGCTGCTGCTCACCACATTGCCGTTTTGAGCATTTTGTTCCTCGGTTTTTTCCCATCTTCTGATTGACACTCCAACCCACATTACTGTCCTGTGCTGCGTGTCTTCCCTCCTGGCCCTCTTAATATGAACCGAGTGCCAAGGCACAGCCTCTCTTTCCTCTGCCCTAGTTTTCCCAGCCAGCACCTACTCTATTGCTTACTACTCTTTCACTGGTTCAGCTAGAGATCTCATAGCTCTGTGGAGGCCAGCGTTTCTCAGGCTTGGCAGGGCATCAGAATCACTTGTGGAGCTCCCTAAAAGTTGATGTCCTGGGCGATTGATTAGTAGGCTGGAGGCCAAGTACTTGGATCTAGGTAAATCTGTTGTACAACCAGGATTGAGAACCTTTCATCTGGGCACTATTGAGGGGCAAGGATGACTATCTCAGTCTTTTTTTGTTGTTGTTTATTTTGTTTTGTTTGTGGTACTGGGGATTGAACTCAAGATCTTGAGCTTGCAAGGCCCAGTGCAGTAATGAAATTTGACAGGCTTAATAATTCCTCGCAAGGCAGCAGCACTGGGCCGAAAGATTAGCTCCCGCTGTCTAGGCTCACAATCTAGTCTAGGAGGCAAATGTGAAATCCCCAGTGCGTTGTAAACATTTCTCCTAACTGTATTAACCAAGGGCTCTAAGAACCCATTTCCTATGGGAGAGGGGAGCTTCATCAGTGAGGTAAAGTCTGTGAACACTTCAGAGCAGAATTCACACTATAGTCAGAGCCTTGAAACATGAGGAGAACTTTTACCTGGAAAAGAAGGCCAAGAAAACCATGTGCAGAACAACAGAGTTGCGCAGTGCATACTGCACTCAGGGAGCAGAGAGCAGTCTCCTGGAACAGGATCCTGAGTAGCACCGCACACGGGAAGACTGAGAGGCAGGGGTGAGGCAGGCAGTTAACCTTCATCTGGAAGGAGCAGCAAATGAATTCCCATTGAGCGCTCTTAATTCCTCAAAGGAACTGACTTCCAAGAAGCCCGTGGGGCGGGAAGCCAGTCTTTGACATGTCATTATCAGGTCGCATGTGTGGCTTGTGAGGGACTGGCCCATTGAAGCTGCTTGGGTACTGCATGCAGTGTCATGGGAATGCATAGGCCACTGCAGTGACACGCTGTTCCACTGTTAGAAACAGTGCAGTGCATCTCCAGAAAACGAGTAGAGAGAATGATAAAAGCATGTTGCAGAACATGTACCTATTTGTGTAGTAAAATCCGTCTAGAGCTTGCTTGGGTTTATGTATTTATTTATTTATTTATTCATTTATTTATTTAGGTACCGGGGATCGAACTCAGGCCCTTGTGCTTGCAGGGCAAGCGGCAAAACCACTGACCTAAATCCCTGGCCCCATGGGTTTTTTAAAGATACTTATGAGTGAAATCAGAAGTTTAAAAAGACTTGCCTTTTTTACATTCATCTCCTTTATACTATTAGAACTTTCTAACCATGAAATTTCATATTTATAATCTGTTTTTTAGAATAAAAGATTTAATTTGACCCAAAGTTTTGCTAACCTTCATTGTCAACAAAATCTTCTCTTTGACTCTCTCATCACCGAGGCATAACATCCAAAAGAAAGAGGCAATTTCCCAGTTTTCTAACATACAAGGTTTCTGCTGGCCTTCAGTAAACACTCCCAATAGTGCATGCACATATCAGAAACTCAGATGACCTATTTGTCCCCGTCCCTCTTCCTTCTTCTCCAGTCCCACCTTAGAGTTGCTCCATTGTACAGACCATACCTTTTTAGGAGTTTTGCCCTAAATGTCTGCTTCAACCCGTTTAAATGGGGAAAACAGCTGTGGCAGCTGTGCAGTGAAAGTTGGCTTGCACTGAAGAGTGAGTGCAGCAAGTGAGAACTTCCTTCCCGCCTGAATTAGTAACTGGAGCCAAGCTCTAGAGCAGGAGGGTAAGGACCATACCAGGGCTCCGTGGACAGGTCATTTTTGTGAAGTCTATTCCAAAGGAGTATTACTTTGGCTGGTTCTAAAGGGGTGGTTGATCAGAAATGTTTAGGCAAAAGTCAATTTGTAGACTTCTCTGTATCAAGGCCAGGCTGCTTAAGTAGAAGCACAGAAGAATAGGACAGGATAATCAACTGGCTAAATAAAGTTAGTACTTGCAAATCCTTATTCCTGCTGAAAGAGAGATTACACTTTTATATGAGCTCATCCTAAATTCAGTTGCATATAAACGCACTTCAGTAACTAAACTGAATTAATTTCCTGATTTAAAATTCAAAAACTGAGAAATAGATACCTTTTTTTTCTCATTATTTGAAGACAGCACTGCTGTTTTAGAAAGCTCTGAAACGAAATAGTATTGTCTGTAGAAAGCCTGAGAGTGAAGAAGCACAGCCTTTATGTCCAAGCTTTGTGGTTATGACTATAACCTCAGCACTCTGGGAGGCTGAGGCTGGAGGATCACAAGTTACAGCCCAGCCTGGGCAACTTAGTGAACGCTTGTGTCAAAATTAAAAAAGCGCTGAGGATGTAGCTCAGTGTGAAGGGCCTGGTTCAATCCCCAGTATTGCACCACCACTCTGTACTTGCTGTTGTGTGTAAACAAGGGGACGCGGACACTTAGAGACCTGTCCACTGCGGAACTGTCTTTGTTTAATACACGCGGAAAGATGAACAGCTGTGCCCAAGTCACATAGTAAGGGATGGTGCCTGGTTGTAGACCTGTACGTTTGTTTGCAGGGCCTCTTTGCCCTGACATCCATCAAGATTATACACAGTTCTCATAACAACTGCTTAACACCCTGCCTTACTGTTATCATCCTCTGTGGAGTGCTTGTTGAATATGTAACATACCACCAATACCTTAGTATACTTTGTCACTATTCAAAAATGGTAGTAACATAAATCTGTCTTAGTGTAGGAAATGTTCACGATCTATTAAGAAGCAGATTACAAACGGCCAACATCTAGGTATGTGAAAAACGCTCACCATCACTAATAACCGGGGGAAATAAACTAAAACCACTATTGAGATATCATCTCACCTTTTATCAAAAAGATAAAAGCCAACAAGTGTTGATGAAGATGGTGAGACAAGGAAATCCGTTGCACAGTGTGGGTGAGAATATAAATTAGCGCAGCCATCCCTCCTGGGGACACAGCTGAGAGATGAAGTCAGTATGTGAAGATGTGTCTGTACACTGTACTCACAAAAGGCAAGATACGGGGTCAGCCTTCATTCGACAGACGAATGGATTAGAATCGCTTACATTCACAATGGAATATTGTTTAGTCTTTTAAAAGGCTAAAATTATGTCATTTGTAATAACATGGATGAATCTGGAAGGCGTTAAGAGACACAGAAATAAAAATATTTTGTGATCTATTTATATGGACTCTGAAAAAGTTGAACTCAAAAGCAGAGTAGAATTGTGATTACAGGGGTCAGGGGTGGGAAGGGGGAGCAAATGGGAAGTATTTAAAATTCCATATATATAAAATGAAATAAGTTCAGGGTCTATTTACAGCATACTAAGTAGAATTAATAATAATGTGTAATATGCAATATTTGAAAATCTCTAAATAGATTTTAAACATTCTCACTACAAAAAAGGTGAGGTGATTAATATGTTAACTGTGTTTGATTTAGTCATTCTAGAATTTTCTGATCCATAGTCAGATGCATTATCCATTGTGCCGCTGGCCCACTCCCAATTTAGTCATTCTTTAATTCATACATGTATCAAAACATCATGTTGTCTCCACTAAGTATATACAGTAGAAAATGAGTAATTTCTTGGTAACTAAAGATTACTCAACAGTGTATACATTGTGGTATATAGAAAAATTTGAGGTAGGCAATGTATATCACATGCACAAACATAGAAACAATTCTAAAAGTGCTTTACCTGGGTGCTTTGAGATCTTTCTGTGCATTTTCTATACTTTCTAGATTTTTACAAGCTATAGTTACAACGGGGTAATTGGGAAGCTGGCTGGGAAGGGAAAGGAAAATGCTGAAAGGTTATGGTAAAAATCAAATGATTCTTATAAGCTATCTCTTGGCACCCAGGCCCTCGGGTGATTAAATCAGCTGTCGTTTTCCTTAAGAACGCATGGACTTTTCTGTGGCTCTGGCTCCTGATTTCCATGATCCTCCCTTCATTTTTCAGTAGCAGTAACGAGCACCCAGAGCACTCCTGCCAAAGCCCCCAGAGTAAAGAGCAGCCCGGCCGCGTCCTCCCCATCATCCGCAGCCTGCACGCCAAGCTGTGCTGGAGACCTCCCTCTTCCCTCAAACACGCCCACGCTCTCCATCAGAACCCCGCCCGCCTCGGGCCGCTCGCCCATCCGAGGAAGAGGTGCCGTCTCCTCTGTCTCTCCCAAGCCACTCTCGTCTTTCAAGATGTCGCTTAGAAACTGGGTGACTCGAACGCCTTCCTCATCACCACCCATCACTCCGCCTGCTTCTGAGACCAAGATCGCGTCTCCGAGAAAAGCCCTCATTCCCGTGAGCCAGAAGTCCTCTGCGGTAGACTCCTGCTCTGAGTCTAGAAATAGAGTGAAGAGGCGACTGGACTCCAGCTGCCTGGAGAGCGTGAAGCAGAAGTGTGTGAAGAGCTGCAACTGTGTGACTGAGCTCGATGGCCAAGTGGAGAATCTTCATTTGGATCTGTGCTGCCTCACCAGTAACCAGGAAGACCTTAGTAAAGACTCTCTAGGGGCTGCCAAACCAAGCAAGATGGAGGGAGCCACCACAAGCATCTCCGAGCCTCCCTCTCCCGTCAGTCCTTTTGCTTCAGAAAGCTGTGCAGCGCTGCCTCTTCCTTTGAGACCATGTGGAGAAGGGTCTGAAGTGGTGGGGAAAGAGAACAGCTCCCCAGAGAATAAAAACTGGTTGTTAGCCATGGCAGCCAAACGGAAGGCCGAGAACTCGTCTCCTCAAAGTCCATCCTCCCAGACACCCGGTTCCAGGAGACAGAACGGAAAGACGTCACCAGGCCTGGTAAGTCAGCAGTGGCTGGAAGATAGATTCTGTAGCTTGAACAGGGCCAGATAGATACAGATCTCTTTTCAAGTCAGGAAAAAAAAAGTAAGTAAATCTATTTGAAGTTACCAAATGTAGCAGGAAGAAATCCAGGACAAATTTGTGCAGGACTTTTGAAAACTTGTTAAATTTGTCTGAAATTCAAAATTGACTGGGTGTCCTGTATTTTACCCATTTACACCTATTAAAATCCATCCTGTCGAGGGCTCCTGCTCCTCAGTCTTGTTGCCTGATGCACTGAAGCTGTCCTCGTGCTCCAGGGTATCAGGTTCAAAAATCTCCTCCGTGGGAGACAGTATGCTATCCTTTTTTGGCAGGTAAAGCTGTTCTTGGGAAAGTTTCCAGTCCCCGTAAGTAGATTTTCAGTTTGTGTTACATTTTATTGTTTAAAATAAAATGAAGCTTAGGTACGTAAAAAGCAATTAAAGTACAGAATCCTAGGTTATGGCTTCCCCGTAATCCTTTGTAGTTGCCTGGCCCCACCAATGTTCATAGCACCTGTATCTTATTGGAGGGCCGGGGAAAGGGGTACTGGGGATTGAACCCAAGACCTCACACTGAGCTAGGGTTTTCTTATTTGAGACCTGATCTCACTAAATTGCCCAGGCTCACTGCAAACTTGTGATCCTCCTGCCTTAGTCTCCCAAGTAGCTGTATATCCAATCTTTTCAACGTTCTGCATTTTAGCATAGTTTACTTATCTTTTTAGGGCTCATATTTCACTGATTAACGTAATATTTCATTAGATAATGTCAGTAACAGATGTTGCTGGTGGAAACTTTGTGAACCTTCACAAGCACATGATTTACTATCAGGTGGGGCAGAAGTAGCTGTGAGCATTGTGAGCTGTGCACACCAGTTTGGGGCCACAGAAAGCTTGCGTTAATCAGTTTAGAGGTTCAGGGAGATGGCTTAGGGGTGTTGCCATGGTGGCTCATGGTAGTTCTTGTTCGGTGTTGGAGGAAGTGGCGGGATGATCGAGATTCAGTCCCAAGTGTCCCATTCAGCAACATCTGCCCTTGTAAAGGGTGGAAGCTGGACAACCTTAGGCCAGGTCCCCCACCTGTCAGGAGTCCTGACATCATTCTAGGAAAAATAAAGGTTATTCAATACACAGACTCCAGCTAAGACCTTGCCGTAGAATATGGGAAGGAAAACAAGTGCTGCAATGTACTATTCTTTGCCCTATGTGAAATTCTTGTTTGTTTCCAGGAGAGCTGGTCTCAGCTATGTGTTAGCAGGAAAGTAATTTCTTGAAAAATTATTTTTGCTAATAAGTAAATCATTAAAATTTTAAATGAAGTGTGGTGGCATGCACCTGTAATCCTAGCATTCAGGAGGCTGAGGCAGGAGGATCACCATGAGTGCATGGCCAGCCTGGGCTACATAGTGAGACTGTCTCCCAGGCTGAGAAATAGTTACTGGTTTATAAATTGGGGGATTTACTGATTTATTTCAAAGAGGATAGTGATTGTAACCACTTTAGCTCCTATTAGGAAGCTTAACTGATATTTTTTAAACTATTTTATTATAAATCAACCAGAAGAGACACTGCTATCCCAAAGTATTTGGGACTGAAAGCTGGCTTACTAATCAAATTTCTAGGCACCCTAAATTAAGGTACTGTCCGTGCTAATTTGCTGATGTAACTTTGGATTTTATCTTGGTCAGTGTCTGAAATGCAAACTTTCTTCTAGGTCACCATCACTCCCAGCTCCATGAGGAAAATCTGTACATACTTCCACAGAAAGTCCCAGGATGACTTCTGTAGTCCTGAACATTCAACAGAATTATAACTTATGAGCTGAGTGAGTTAACTGAACTTTGGTCCACTAAACCAAAAGGAAAAAGAATGACTAACTCTGGTCTCCATGAAGTAAATTTGTCACTCTGTAGCATTTTGAAAGAAGAGTCTTCACTTTTTAAATTATGCATCCTCTCTACAATAAAGACATCCCAGCTCATGGAGAAAAAAAAGCAAGACCAAGACCTGTCTCTGTTCCCTGACCTGGTGTGCTCAGTGGGAGCATCACCTGCCTCAGCCTCTTGGGGAAAGCTGGCTGCTGGAGGAGTCTTCTGCAGAAGGTCCCTGGATCTGCCCTGCCTCATCAGTATCATTTTATTGAAATATATAATCTTTCTCTATTCTTTTGTGTGTTTTTTAAATACATATAAAATGTGATGTTCAGATAAGTACATTTATATTGGTTCATTGTTAAAATACAATCTCTTGAGCTAACCTCATCTTGATTTTAAATGCAAACTCTGGAGAAACTACGGGGGCAACAATAGAACTCTGGATTTGTCGTGTCCCCCCTGCAATGTAACTCCCACATGACAGTTAAGTTTCCATATTTTTACTAAGCAATCTTCTGTAACAACCCAACATTACTTTCTGTGGTTGATTTTGCCACTTAGAGGAAGGTGTTCAGACACTGGGGAGAGGTTGGGTTTGAATTTAAGTGCAGTCCTCAGTTCTCTTGAAGCTGCAATTTTTTTTAAAGTGATCAGATCTTTACAATATTTCTGACTGATAATTTTATAAAAGATGATAGTCTTATAAAAGAACTGAAAATCCAGAACCTAAAAAATGAACCTTGGTTTTCTCTTTACGTTCATAAAAACAGTAACTTTCTAGTATAACCCTGAGCAAAAAACACGAAACTTTCTCTAGATACTACTTAATACAGAAATGTGTCATCTCTCCCTTAAATACCAGCTGTATATCAGTCATTTTGAAATAGGCTTATTTTATATTTCCCCCCCTCTGTGACCTCGTGGAAAGCTTTAAGTACTTACTAGGTACTTGGAAGAATCCCCTTCCAGTGATGAAACTTGATTCATTCATATCCCAAAGGACTAATAGACTTTATTCCTTTTTTTTTGTCATGGTTTTAAAATCGATTCTTAATGAAAACTCTTTAATTCACTTGAGGTTTTAAGTTTGTAACTACCAGGACTACACAGGTTGATGAAGCACAGGCTCTGCATGGTTTTATCCAAGGAGAAAGTTAAGAGCCGAGCACACCATAGCTTTAACTGAGTATTTAGAAAATGTACTTAATTTGGTGGTTGTTTTTGAGTGTTAGCAGGTGTTATTTATGAACAATACCTGCCAATAGTGATGTCTTTCTCTGTCATTTTGAAAGCGAGTAGGGGTAAGGTGGTTCCATGATAAAAAGAATCAGTTAAGTAGAGTTTGGAATTGTGTTTGTTTCTCTGCACATCCTCTGGTAGTGTTACAGAGTGAAACTGAGGTAAATGTGGCTGCCAGAGACTATGCCGAGTGTCTACTAGGTATAACACGTCCCACTTGGAAAACTAGTACTTCAGCTGGGTACCAAAGGTTAGATGTAATGAGATAATAATGATCTCCACCTGTGCCAGTGTCCATCTTTGAGCGGATCCTGAGAAATAGCCTTTACCTTCTTCCGTGTTCTTACCTGAGCTTGTAACGTTAACCTAGAAGCAGTCCACACAAAAGAACTATAGTGGTAATCAAGAGTCCCTTCTACTTAGTCACTGAATAAAATTTGTTTATTCCAAAGGATATAATCTAGCTCAAATTGAAAGCGGTTTCAATAAAATATATCTTGCTTAGTCATACCTGGAACATTTAACATGACTTGTATTACTTGGAGGGTGCGGTTCTTTCTCTAAACAAGTATTTCCAGCCCAAACTTTTCCATTTGAATACATTCCAGGCCATTGCTATGATGCTATATTAGTTTCCTTTCAGCTATTTCAGCAGAGGCCTTTGGTTGACTAATTAGTCCCTTTAAATGTCTTTTCATCTGGCAGCACATTTCGCTGATGATGCATCAAGACCATTTGTATCTGCCCTCGTGTTGGGGTTTGAAAGTAGAGCCCACCATGCCCAGCCGAAGTGCTAATAGCTGAAACCTTCACTAAGACTTTCAGGATACCTTGTGTAGGAGGCGTATTTTTAAAAACCAAACTGCAATATGGATATCTAGAGACCACCTTTTTAAGTGCATGTTTGTGCACACATTGCTTAATCCCCAAGGTTATCCTAACTCCACATTCTCGCCCAGGTCATGCGTCTGTTCATCGGAAGCTTTTTGAGCGCCTCTCGTAGCAGACATACCACTATTCATGTCTGTTTTTCTGCTTTCCCTGTCCCAAGAGAATCTGGCTTCCTTTCCCACTGCTTTTAAAGCAAAGGCCAAGCAGTCTCAGCACTAGCTCCACAGCGAGGCAGAGTAGGTAACATTTTCCAAGCGTGTGTCAGGAGAGACTGGGTGGGAATGTGGCATCAGAAAGACTGCAATGTCCCTTCTGTAGCAGCTCCCGGGTGGTACCTGCTTCACCAATAAAGGCCTGGTCATGGGCCCAGAGAGGCCTTGGTAACACAGTTGGGATTGGGCTTTTCCATAGACCTCACTGCTTCTTACGCCAGTCTTCCTGGGAATTCTTTGCTTGTCCTAAATTTGGATCACGCCACATTACAGATTAACCAGTTTACTCAATTCCTGGAGATAGGGAAAAACCTGCATTATGCCTCAGCTCTTTCAATATTGGTTGGACATTATAGGCAGGCCTAACACAATACTTTATTGAGGTTGAGATAGATTTAATGCTTTACCTGATCTGATAACCAGGAGTACAAGCCCAGCTTGTTACGGTGAGCATTTTGTGGTCTAAAGTGATGGAAAAACCTGTTTGCGAGCGACATTTGAATGCATGCTTAAATGCAAGGGTTATTGAAGGAAGGGTGTGAGTTAAATTCAGCGTTAAATAAATCACCTGAGCCAGGTAAGCAGCTTGTTCAGATCACTATGCCTACAGCAAGCATGCACAACACAGACAAGGATTATATGAAATAATCCAAACATCTCTCCTTTCTCTGCTAACCTAGGAAAAAGAATTTCTAGAATGTATAAACTGGTTCCTTAATTTTAGCTTCAGAGCTTTAATATCCCATGTATACCCCATTTCTTTCTCATTTCCTCAACTTGCCGCGTGACCCTTTCTGTTTTGACATTCTAAATGGACAGGTAAGCCATTGTGTAGAGTAGGAATAGGCGAATAGCAGAAGCACATTTCAAAACACCTATTGGAAGAACTTCTATTCAGCCAACATTTGTTTATTCATCACCTGGTGCCACACCCTGTGGGAGGCACCACGCCTGCAAATACACATCCCTTTTCTGTTAAGTTGCTTTATGTAATCAATTGGGTACACTTGAAGTCGCCATCTGAGAAAAAACAGACAAATCAGATTTCCAGGTCCCTTGAGTGAAATTACTTGTGAGTGGTTATTCAGCAGCAAGTGCACTTAGATGCAGACTCCTTCCTCTGAGACTGTAATTCAGCAAGCACCTGTAATTTTTCAAAGTGTTATGGTTTGAATCTTAAATATCCCACCAAGCCCTGTGTATTAGATGGGTCCCTGGCCCGTGGTTCTCTTGGGAGGTGGTAAAACCTTCAAGAGGCAGAGCCCAGTGGAAGGAAGTTAGGTCATCGGGGCGTGTCCTGGAAGGCGCTCTTGGGACCCCAGCCCTTCTCTCTGCTCCTTGGCCACTACAGGGTGAACAGGCCTCGTCTGCCATGATGTTCTGTGCCACCCCAGCCCGAAAGCAGTGGGGCCAAGCAAATAGGTTTGTCACCATTGGAAACTCGCTAACCCAAAGTGAAATGCTTTTCTCATCCGTGTTCTTACTCCTTGCAGTGTTCTAAATGCTTGAAAACCTGATAGATCCAAACTGCTTAGCTTTGAATCCAACCCCAATCTGTGTGACCTTGAACAAGTTACTTCAACTCCGAATGTTTCCCGTCTATAAAATGACGGGTAGTTACTGCATGTAAAGCTTTTAGGGCAGTGCCTGGCACATAATAGCTAACATTTATTGAACAGTTACTCTTAGCCGTTATTCTCACAAGATAAAGAGGGCAGGAGTCATCTGTATTGGGTAAGTGGGCATAAAGGTTTAAGTAATTAACTCATTGCTAGTCCCTTTCTGCTAGAGCGATGAAGATATGGAACTAAGAATCACCCGAGAAGCTTTTCTATTTTAAAAATAATTTGGCCAGGCTTCCCTGTCCCAGCACTTTTCGAAAAGCAGAAATAGGCCTGTGGGAAAAAATCTCCAGTGCCCTAAGTGTTTGAGATTCATGACTTTATCCCACCGTGGAGACACGAACATTAGGGAGGTGATTTCATAGGTGCCTGTGGCCAGTGCTTTATGCTGCAAATTTGTACCCCAGACTGGAAACAAGACCAAGCGCACCTTTCCATTTCCTGACAACTGGGGCAGCTCTGCCACAGGGGTTCAAGTGTGATCCCCCTTAGACAGGGAGCTGGGCCTGAGGTCTTTGGAGGCAGCAACTTGGATCACTTGTTAGGCTACTGTGCTGTTTGGCTGGTGAGCAGATGGATGAGAGGTCAAGCTCAAAACAGGCCACCTTACTCTGTTTGTAGAAGATTCAAACATTTGGTTGAGAAATACTGGGTAGACTCAATTCCTTGCTCTTATTCAATAAGCCTCCTCCTCCACAGACCCTTCCTTTTGATGCCAATCACACTTGTTGCCATTGTCACATCAGTGCCAAAGTACCAGCTGTGAGAGTTTTCTTTTGGTGGGCAGAGCCAACACGGGGACTGCAGTTGGCATTTGAGCATCAAATGTATGCTGCCACTGATGCTATTCAGGCCCCTGGTTTCCAATTTACAGGCACTTACAGAATGTGGCGTCCTCTTATTAGGAGCTGGCATCTGCTCCTCTGCAAATACTCCTGGCACCTGCATCTTCTTGGTGGGTTTGTGCCAAAGTTTCTGATTCAAATGAAAATGTGAAGGGCTTTAATTTTCCCTGT